ATTTTCTTAAAAACATTATAACATCGAACCTATATCACAGATGCATTATTCTTCATTCGATATATGATGTTCACCTAGGTAAAGTCTCAATCGATGTAAAGTTCCTATAAGCGATTTTCATTGCAATAGCTTTCATAGATTACATCCTTGTTTGCTTTTTCTTTTCTTTTAATATATATAAATAATGAAAAATTATCTCTTTCTGAGTCAAAAAATTGTTCTAGGGCTAAAAGCAATAAGGCTGCTTTTTTTTGACAATTCTAAAATATCTATACCTTATTATTTTGGTTAAGGATATTCAGCTTATCAAGAAACTCTATCTATATAATCTTTTGATTATTAAGTGCACTTATTTCTTGTTGATATATCCTTCCTTTCCTTTCTATATAAATAAATTTTGTAGATGAAACCAAGTCGTATAGTATGTACACTAGATAACATCGTTATTCTTGCAAATTTGTTATTTTGTTATTGTTATACGATTTTTTTTTGTGCATTTATGTTTTTCAACTAAAAAAGATACAAATCTCAAATAAGAAAACAAAAGGAAAATATCCAACTATAGATTTCAAAGCAATGACAAGGTTAATATAAAATTCTTCTAACTTTTTAAATGTAATTCTAAGAAAAATTTCTATTTAAGTATTTTTAATACTAATATCACCAAATATTTTAATTTTTCCTATTAAAAATATTTATTGCAATTTTTTTAAATAAAGCCGGGTATAATATTTTAAAATTTAAAATATTTTCACTTATCAATAAGGTATTTTGTATTTTTTGTTGGGTGTTAGTATTTGTTCTCTATTTTCACATTTGAAAAACATATTTAGCATAAGTTCTAGAAAAATAAGTCACAAAAAAAATCACCTATAAAATAACAACAATATCTTGCTTAGGGGGCTCGAACTGCTTAGCATTTTTTTATATTGAGGCACACAACAACAACGAACTCGTATCACTTTTCACTGAACCCAATTACCGAAGCAGAAAAACAGGTGCAAACATTTTTTGCTGTTTTGTCAGAATGTTACCATGGCGTATGCGTGACGTGTGTCCGTCCCACCATGCGACCATGCGCTTTGTTCTGATTGGGCTCATGAATATTTATATACTTTTATATTTACTAAATATTTACATATATTTTGTTTTTGACTTCATTTCAAATCTAAAAGTCATATATACTTTTGTTTATCAGAATTTACTTATGTATAATATATCATATATAAGTTAAACATGTTAAAGAAGAAGAAATTTATAACAGTTATTTTGACTATATTTCAATAGAACAATAATAAAATAGAGGTAATCGGAAATATTAAAAGATAAATAAAGTATCTTAATTATATAATTAGTTAATACTGAAAATCAACAACAATTTTTTTCTTTTAACAGTATAGTAATATATGTTGCTCCCCATTTTAGTTAAATCGAGAAGTTAAAAATAAAAAAATAACTTATATTCTTTAATATCTTTTCTTATATATAAGTATATAACAATATGTATCTATAATAATTATATCTTAAACCAATATATTTTAGAGAATATTACTGAGTTTGGGTCACCAGTTCATCATGGGCTGAATATATCACGTTACACAGAATACAGACCATCACAGATATTTTATTTACGCTCTGTACTCCGACTAGGAGATACGGAGCACCAATACGGATATCATTTTTAATTAATTAAATTTTTAGTAATTTTTTAGAGAGGTTTCACAAAGAAGTGAACTAGAACAACAAAAATTCTTTTTATATTATTTTAATTAATTGAATTTTTGTGTAATTTTTATTATAAATTTGTTTAAAAATTGGTAAAGAACCTCTTTTTAAATCATTTATATCAAGAAACTTATTGAGTTTTTTAACTTTGTATTGATGAAGTCTTTCCTAATGAGATCTGGCCAATTTCATTGAAAAGAAGGTGGTTGGCACATTAAACTCACATTAAATTTCTTTTTTTGTACCAATAAGCGTTTGATACAGAACAGAGGAACTAATTTTAAAAGCGGTATATTATTTCAAAGTTGGTTTCTCCACACAATGCCATATAGGACCTGCATCTACAATATACAAACCGGTATAAATATTTGATTTCACACTATCAATTTACAGAAACTTGATAGAACTGAGTATGTACCTTCAAACCATTTAAAATTTCGCAGCTCGAATTTATCTTTTATTTTTTCACTCGTCTAGACCAGTGCTGTCCAGATCAGAGCCACAGGGCCACAGAAACAAATATATACGTTCATAATTGTTTTTGCGAAAAATAAAAATATGGTTATAATATTATATTTGGTTTTATTAATTAATTAATTTAAGTTCATTTATTTGGTGTACCATAAAAATAAAATAATGTGATTTTAGCAAAGTAAACCAAAAGAATATTTGTGTAATTGTGGTAGATTATTAAACAGTCGCGAGCCGCATGAGGCCCGTGGGTCGTGCTTTGGACAACGCTGTCCTATATACTTAACAGGATTTCAATAGAGTATTTTATTGCCAAGTATACTAATTTTTAGACATAATATATCACACAATTTTCGTTGTAGTCATTATAATTGTGGTTATTTAATAAGTACAAAATTCCATTTTGCTGTCCAGTTTGCTATTTCGTTCTCACCTCATTGGAATTAAAGGGACCACAATAATAATTTAAGTGCCCTCTACATTATAATGTGGTGTTTATCAAAATATAAAATCAAAATTTGTTTAACGAAGGGGCATGCATAGATAGGAAAAAAAGAAATCAGTGATTGTTTTTTACCTAAAAATATTAATTTTTTCGTATTTGGTATATCTATCTTGAAAAATATTTCTTTTAAAAGTTTATATATAACAAGAGCTCCAGCATATTTTATATAGAATGTGAATTTTAGCAGCAAAATTAACTAATAATTTCTTATAAATGAAACCATTGTATTCCTGTTACTTACTTTATATTCTCATGTGAATCAATGCAATTAATAACAAAAAAACTAACAAGATTAAGAACCTTTAACCCTTTCTCAATTGATATTTCACAATGAAAATACTACCCATAGAATAATTGCCTATCCTAAGTCAAAAGAAATGGAACCATATGGACATGAGCATGGAAAGTATTTTGTAGCAGATAATAGTTGATTATCTTTTTTATATGAATGTATATTTTTATATTAAAATTAAACTTATTGATAACATCATAGGTATTTAGCGAAAGTTTTTTAATTATTTCAAATTTTTTTTTTTTGCAGTTTAAAATAATAATCTATAAAAAATCTATTTACAATTTTACAAAATAATCTGTGAACCCCCTCCGCTGCCCTTGGCACACATTCAAAATAAAGTTTATAGGGCACTACATCAATAACTGTAATTTCAAAAAATTAAAAGGAAAAAATTCAGAGATCTAACTGGTTTAGTTCACTAGTAATAGTAACAATCCAATTTAAATCTGTTAAATATGATATTAAAATAACTTTACAATAATAGCGAATATTCTCTTTTACAAAAATTTTATATAAGTGGACTAAGGAACCTGATCTAAAAGCTTATATTAGGAATACTAATAATCTAAAAACATAAATAATTCTCGTAGGCTACCTAATGAGACCACGATTTTTCAGGTTTAAATCATAGCAATTATAGAAGCTCTGCGGCAAATTGCAAGTCACAACGAGGACAGATGTAGTGTTGCCATTTTCATTTACAACCAGGCAGCAATCAAATCCCTTGAATCTTTCATAACAAAATCAAAAATAGTAAAGGAATATAAAGAAGCAATCAACAAGATAAATTGGCAGGCTGATACCACCCTCATCTGGGTTCCTGAACATAAGAACATCGAAGGGAACAAGAAAGCTGACGGTTTAGCCCGCTCTGGTGCCTCCCTGGATGTGTCACTGGCGGTACAAGTTTATTTTACCTTAAAGACCATTAAGAGAAGTACCTTCCTCTACTTTCTGCAACTTGTCAATAACAGATAGAAGGCACTTAAGTCATGTGCAACTTCCAGGTTAACATGGCCCACCTATAATAAAAACAGATCCTCGGAACTCATCAAAACAGACCGCGTGAACACTGCAAGACTTACTGCAGTTTTTTCTGGTCATTGGTGTATAAGAACCCACACAGAGAAACTGCGCACTCCCCATAATCCTCATTGCAGAAGTTGTGGAAACCCGCAGGAAAAAGAAACTATAATATATTTTCTCTGTGAATATCCAGAAGATATTGGTTCTTAGGAAGATACTTCTTTGATAGTTTACCAGACTGTTTATCGATGAAGACGGAAGACCTATTAAATTATCTAAATTCAGCGGGATGGGTTAAGTCTCTATTCTTCTATACTAGGGTTCTTGAGAGGAATGTGGTAGCAAAACGACGAAAAATCGCTCATTGAGGTACATGAAAATAATCTAAAGTCCTGCCACTGCTACCAACTAATAAAACAATTAATTTTATTAAAAAAAGTACACTTTGCGGAAATGAAAATGAACTATAACAGTTTCTTTATAAGAATTCTTTTATCCTAGATACATGCAACTACCGAAGACAGTAAAATTGAGTTGCTATCTGGCAAAGCTTAAAGTTCATTAAATTTTATTCATTTTTTTTCAAATTTAAAGATTGAAATTTTATTCCGTATTTAACCTGGCTTAGGAACAGCTTTATTTATAACAAAACATTTTAATAATAACTCAGATTAGTTAATATGAGCGTGTGTAGTGAATTTTAAGTATTAGAAAAATAAAATCAAAATATTTATCAATAAAATAAAATGTGGCAAAAACAATAACAACTGTAACGGCCGGCAAGATAAACAAAATACTCGTTTTATATATTTTAAATTAGAATTTAGTACAAGAAGCTGCTCGCTTATGAATATCGAATTGAATTTAATTAATTAATTATAACAAATACTAACGCGAACTTATACAGGATTTTCACCTGAGTTTTTAGCATCAGCGAAACTATAAAAACACAGTGAAGATTGCAGAATCACCGTAGTTCTCTGAAGCATCGAGCGCTTCAATAAGTCGCGTTAATATTTCTCTAAAAAGTTTTACAAACTATTTTTGATCCGTGGTAATGGTATGTGAACAAATTACAACAGTGAATAGTGCTTGCAAAAATATATTTAACTATCTTTTAAAGTGATAAGATGCAATTCACGAGAGGAACAATATAATAATACCTCTCCACATAAGTGCTTAGATATATGCTTCTGTGTAAAATTTAATAAAAGTTTTTGATATTTTTTTAAAAAATATATGCTTTACTGTGTTAACTGTTTTCAATCTTAAAAATATTGTGGGAAAAAGATACACCTTTCAAGTCAGTGTAAATAATATGAAAAGCCTGAAAAGTTTTTTTCAACCTAACATTGGATTAAATTTCTCAACTTAAATCTCCTTAAAAAAATAATTCATTTTATTCAAAGAACTTGTTTTCTTCTTTTTGCTAATACTATTTATTTAAAGTCGATTAATTGTTCATAATAATAAAAAAAAAATCAAATAAAATTTTATATATATTTGTTTCTTTTCTGAAATAAAATTATTTTATATTAATTCAACACGGCAATAAATCCATTGACCTTCCATACAAGAAATAAAACAGACATATCGGAGCCTTATTGTAGAGCACAACTTTCTCTCTTCAATTACTCGATAAATGGCAAAAAGCGTTGCTATTCCAGATTACCACCATGGCAAAGGTTTTGCTTAACAGAACAACTGACATTGCCAACGGGTCACAGACAGCGTTTTATAATCATAATCTCTCTGACTGCATATATTTTCGCCGAAGCCATATGTTTCCTTCTCGATTAAAATCAGTTCTCAGCATACAATACAATTTTGGATCACATACAATAGATACATACAATTATGGATTAATTTCTAAACAAAATATATTGATATATTATTAATATATTGTTAGATATCTTTTTAATTAAGACATTAGTAAGGGAAATAAAGACTTGAAATGAAATAGTTGAAAACTTCTGTTATCGAAAGATCGGGATCTAACTAAAGTTAAAGAACTATCTGGTTATAAAATTTGATTTTTTTAAAATCAATTATGATAATAGAAACTATTTTCTTAGTAGAAATTTTTTTAATAGAAATGTTTTTGAACATACATACTCGTACATATGTACATTGTAACTGCAACAGAAGATTTGAGAATTAACTTGCATTAAAAACTATACATGGCAGCTGTTATTTAAGGTCGTGTGCGAGTTAGGCTAAGTTGCGTTCTAAATGAGGGAAATTCTAAGTTGTGCCGATAATATAGTGATGTGTCGATACGTGTTGATAAATGGGTAAATGTGTGCAGTGCCTAACTCGCACACGTCCTAAGTTCAGTAATTCATATGTAAATTTCGAAAAAATAGAGAAGAAATATTTTTTCGAAAAAGACCTTACTTTAATTTTCTGTCTCTGATAGCTGCTTTTTATTGTCGTTGATGAAATAACGATTTGACTGCCAAACAGCTGCAAATGTTTTGATTTCTAGAGTTAGAGAGTACTGGAGCATTTAATTAATTAATTTATATAGTATAAAAGACTGTTTCATAATCGCTTACGAAATCAATAACCATCCACAGGTAGATAGATTTTACAATGACTATAACAGCAATAATTACAACGAGCTAATGATGAATATGTCAATTAAGCTATTTATGGATCCATTGCTCCCTAGCGACAACAGATTGACAACATGTCTATGTAGACTTATAGTAGGTAACATTTAGAATGTTTACACTTCTTTCGAATCTAGATATCTCTGTATAGATTTGAAGTAGGTATCATATAGGATGTTAACACTTCTCGCGATTCTAAGAGTACTCTATTTCTCTCAGATGCTTAAACTTTATAAATGTAGAGCCTCCAAACGTTTTAAATATATATTGGAAGCAACGTAATACGTAAATATTAGAAATGTCGCAAAATCTCTAATATACCCTATATACCACTTTTGGCATGGAGACACGCGTTTAAAGCGTGTGTCGCTTATTTTTCGTCACTAGTAAGCTTATCTATGATAGTTCTGTAATCCTTGTCAGTACATATCGAGAGTAATTTTCTTGCTTTGATGTGAATATTTTTGCAGTTTGGTCGCAGGAAAATCTGTTCCAGCTTAACATGACCTGCCTTTTCATATCTTCATTAATTTTATTGTGTAGATTTTAAAAAATTTTTATATGTAAATTAATTAATATAAAAAAGATGTAATAGCAAATCGATTATTATTGTTTTTTTGACAGTAGGTGAAAGCATCGAAAGCCACCGTCTGAGACTTGAACCCACTAACCACCTCTTAGGAATGAATGGAGAAAATTTCCACAGCATTGTGAAAACTTCATTCCAGTAAGCAGGGGAGAGACGAGAAAAAATAGACTTGGAACCTAGCGAGCTAGATTTATCTAAGCCAGAAAGCATACACCAGGGCTGTCCAGACTAGATACGATCGCGGGCCAATACCAATCACTGTACAGATTGGAGGGTCATATACATACGTTCATAGTTGTTTTCGACAAAAATAAAACCATGTTTATAATGTTAAATTTAGTTTTATTAATTAATCAATTTAAATTCATTTAGTTGGTATACAATAAAAATAAAATAATGTGGTTTCACCAGTATACCAAAAGAAAATTTTCGTAATTATAGTAGAATAAAAACATGTAGTGGGCCGCACAATCATTAGCCGAGGGCCGTGCTTTGGACAGCCCTGATATGCACCATAGTTTTAATATTTTGTAATACTTTTATAAAATTAACATATATATTATTCCTTACTTATTTTTACTCGTTTAAAATTTAAATCGAAACATTTTATTTACTTACAGACAAGTTACACAGACAAAGGTCCAAAGGTACTATAAAATAATTTACATACATAAATAAAATTAATAATAACAGTATTTATTTTACAGCCAGAAGCTGGAAAATTCCTTAGCTTTGATCACTTAACGTTTTACGTTGGAAATGCTAAACAAGCAGCGAGTTACTATACAACTCGTCTAGGCTTTGAGCCACTGGGCTATCAAGGTCTTGAAACTGGAAATCGGCGCTTTGCAAAACATGCAGTAAGACAAAACAAAATTGTTTTCGTTTTTATCTCTGCGTATAATCCCGATGAAAAGGAGCATGGAGCACATTTAATGAAGCATGGCGATGGTGTAAAAGATGTTGCATTTGAGGTTGATGATTTAGATGTGATATTCAAAATTGCAAAAGAACGCGGCGCAGAAGTTCTACGTGAAATTTGGCAGGAGGAAGATGAATTTGGAGTTGCACGTTTTGCTACAATAAAAACAGTAAGAACGTAATATTAATATGTTTTTTATTAATAAAATAAAATTATTTCTCTTACTTATTTGCTCAGTATGGTGATACAACACACACATTTGTAGATCGTAGTAAATATCGGGGCGAGTTCCTACCAGGTTTTAAAACAGTGCTGAAAGACGTTCTACTGACTTCACTACCACCTACCAAATTAAATTTTATTGATCATGTAGTAGGTAATCAACCAGATTTGCAAATGGAGAGTGTTGCTTCATGGTATGAACGCATTTTGCAATTTCATCGTTTTTGGTCAGTTGATGATTCACAAATTCACACCGAATACTCAGCACTGCGCTCTATTGTAATGGCCAACTATGAAGAAACAGTAAAAATGCCCATCAACGAACCAGCCGACGGCAAAAAAAAATCTCAAATTCAAGAGTATGTTGAATTTTATGGTGGCTCTGGCGTGCAACATATAGCACTTAATACAAGTGATATTATAACTGCAATACGAAACCTTCGTGCTAGAGGTACAGAATTCCTAACTATACCCGAATCATACTATGAGATTTTAACAGAAAATCTGAAACATAGCAGAACTAAAATCAAAGAAGATATGAAAGTTCTTAAGGAATTAAATATCTTAATTGATTATGATGAAAACGGATATTTATTACAAATCTTCACAAAGAATATGCAGGATAGACCTACGGTGTTCTTAGAAGTCATTCAACGTCACAATCACAATGTACTCAATCTTTTTCTATTTTACTCATATAAATTAATAATAATAATTTTTATTTTAGGGGTTTGGTGCCGGTAATTTCAAATCATTATTTACTGCTATTGAAATCGAACAAGCCAAGCGAGGAAACTTATAATTTACATTAATTTTATTATAAAATATACAAAACGTAATATATATATCACTTAATTATTAATAAACTAAATAAATACAATAAAACCAAATCGATATAAAATTTAACAAATTTTAGATATGTATCAGTTCATTTTAATTGGAATGTCATAAAAACATAGACAAAGACCTTATTTTCCTCCTCGTTTATTAGCGAAACGAGTGTCAATTAAAACTTCTTTACGTGGATCATTTTCATTAAAGGAACGTATAAATGGATCCCAAAAACCATCTGGAGTATTCCACCTTAATAACTCGTCTTCCTTATGGCGTGAGCATTGACGTATATGTGACATAATTTCTCTATCACTTAAATTATCACCAAGAAATGCTATATACTGTAACAGTAAATAATTTTTAGAATATGTAAATGGCAGATTTAAAATTTAACATATGCTTACTTTTAAACAATCCTGGCAGTCAATTTTAAAACGTTCTTTAATACTTTGTTTTTTATGAAGTAGTTCTTCACTACATTCTTCCTCCTTCACCATTATCGGCAACACCATAAAATCTTCACTATCGTCCGTATACTTAGCATCAGGTAACTTGTTTTTTATTTTATCAGTGAAGATACTTCGATTTTCTTCTTTAACATTCTCTATTTCTTCTAATTCTTTTACATATGTTTCGTCTAAAATATTTGTGTTGTCCTGAGAAGACATTTCTTTCTTAATATTAATATTGGAAACAGTTGATTTTGCAATCAAGTTATCTCTCCTAAATTAAAATATAAATCAAAAATATGAATAATTTAGATTATAATATATTTATACTCATGTTCACACGAATTCTTCAAACTTGCACGTTCTTTATGATTAACGATTATATCACTATCTATATCAGTGTCATCCAAAAATATTATATCCTGAGTTGCCGGAGTCAACACCAAAACGCTTTTTTCACTAGTTTTTTCTTCGTTGAGTTCTTCAGCTAATATATCTGCCAGTAACTCATCAGACTTTGTAATATCGTTATTAGATATATCAAACTCAATTTGACTGGCATGATTGTCTCGTTTGGTGTCATTATTAGCCATGTGATCAGAAACGTGTAAATTTTTTTCTGCAGACCTTTCTACATTTTCTTTTGAATTATTACTTACTCTAAAAATATAAATTTAATTTATTTTTATTGTTATTAAAGTAAATAATACCTTAGCAGCCACGAACGGGAAGCTTTAGATTGTTTTAAAGATGAATTAGCTAATGGACTATTAATTATTACATCGTTATTCACTAGTTTGCCAACCTGAAAGCAAGGAATGTACATATTTCAATATTTAGAAGAGAACATGTAATAAAAACTAAAACTATTTTACTATTTAGGAAGTACTTCATATAATTTAAAAACAACATTTACATTATTGAATTTTATATAAAAATTGTATTATAAAATTTTTAATAATAAGAATTTTGTAATTTTTATTAACCTTATCGTAACTATGTTCATGTGGTCCATCTAATTGCAAACGGGTTTGCTTAAATTTGTGTATATTTTTTTTATTTAATGAAAGATTTATTTTCTTGTCATTATCCTTTTTCGTTAACTGAGCATTTTCTGAAGGCAACGGAGCAATAAAATGTGTTATTTTTTGATGTGAAGCCCCTTTTGCCAGCCAATCAGCCTTGTTTATATTGTTATTATTTTTATTCATATTTACTACTGTTTTAGTTGAATTATTAGTATTTGTTTCTCTTAAACTATTTACGGATATGTTCTTCCGAATGGCAGTTAAAAGCGAATCTTTGCGTTTTATTACATTTTCAGTTTCGGCTATGTTCTCGTCATCAACTGTAGCATTCAATTCTGAACATTCCAAAAGTTCCTCACTGTCAAGGGCTACATTTAATTTGGATGTTTGCGGCAACTCATCATTAAAACTTGTGTCACTGGAGCTTGAATCAATAGCAAATGTATTTTCATTAATACTTTGTTTCCGTCTTCTCTTCGCTGAAATAAAATCCTGACTACACGACTGTGTTGTTTTTTGACGTTGCATCATTGTTACAACATCGTTAAGTTGCTTATTTCGTTCTTTTAACAAATGAATTTCCTTACATTGTTTTTGATGTTCCTGATTTAAATCTAGAATAGTAAAATGTAACTACTTTGAGACAATGTTATCTTAAACACCTACATGAACAATGTTTTATAATGTTTTCCACCGATGTTTGAATGCAGTCATATTCAGATTTAGAGGTAGTAGGGCATAAATAACAAACCATGGCAGTTTCTTGTTAATAAAATGTGTCCAGTATTTACCACTCTAATTTTTGTTGTAAAATTAAATGCTTCAAGTTCACCCTTTCATTGAATGACATTCGTGTGTTTTGACATTTCGACTTTTCTGTGTATTCTATATATTCTATGTTTTTTAATGCGTTCATATATACCGATGAATTGTGATATTTGGGGCAACTGATATCGAAATCAATTTTTACAAAGTTTTATAAGCAATTGCGTAGATGATTTGTTTAAATTTCGTCGCTTATATTAGTTTTTTTCCGATAGGTGAAGAGCGTTGAAAACCATACTGTGAGAATTGAACCTATTAAAACCACCTCTTAAGAATGTAAAATGAACAAATTCTAAGTAATTGACTGAAGCTCTATTCGAGTTATCAAGAGAAAGTCGGACATTGTAATACAGAATGCTTAGTATTTAGACAACAAATATACCTAAGCCAAATTTGTTAATAAGCGAGGGGAGGAAGGAAGGATGTTTAAAGGATGTAGAGCGAGATTACAGGAGAATGTCATTGAGATAAGAGCCAGGAATTATGGAAATTTGTACCTCATATTATTAAGTAGATCAACAAGAAGTCAAACTAAATGAATAATATCAGAGGAATAATTATGACCCTTGGTAAAATATCTTAGTGCTAGAGATAATAAAAAGTCAATTAAATGCTAGATGTGAAAAAACTTGTAAATAGCGGAGTTGGGAATATGTCTGCCATAAAGTCTGCGCTTGTAATTGTTGCAGTCCCGGAGCACTCTTTCAAACGTTCGAAGGCATTCCGTTTGAGAGTATGAAATCCCTGAATTGGAAATAACTATGCACATTTAGCAGATTATATCGGCACAGAGCATTTTTAAGTCGAAGAGTGGCATTCTTGATGATAAGACTACCGTGCGGAATGAAATTGTATTTAGGAGTAAAATAACTCACTCGTGTTTTAACTTATCGGTAAGACTAAACGCAGAGCCTTCAAGTTTAAGATTTTTGTCTCAGCACGTATAGATTCTGGGATAATTGCAATATCACCTAAGACAATTGCCGAGATTTTTCAGAGGTGGAGTTTGATTTTCCTAGTTTATAATACCTGGTGAGGGAGTTAATATGAGGCTTATATTAGTTATTTATAATGTCACTTAACATTTTAATATTAATACAAATAATGCGGAAAGATAATGAAAATAATAATTTTTAATACAATTTAAAAAATTTATTAAGATTAAATAATGTTATTTACTTATGTCTTCTATTTTCTACAAATATTTACAGTAAACCATCACAGTTATATAGCAAAATAAAATAAACCGGCAACGCCAACTTTGCAAAGTTTTATCACCTCCTTAACTAATTAAATAACCTCGTAAACTATTATTATATAGAACTCACAATCTTCTGTTATACGCTCCTTAAATTGAATCATCTTAACTGGCTTCTAACAAATTTTGTGTGTACTCTTTATATTAAAATAAAATTATATTAAAATCTCAAGTGTCTGAGATGAATTTATCAACCGGACATAAAATTAAGATCAAATAAACCCACTGATATCAAATCACGATAGTTATCCAATAGCACATTCACACTGCCTCATTTAGGCGTTTTTGCTCATTATACCCACTAATAAGGACGATTTACCATTCAAAAATCTTTTATATAAATGAGCTCATTATCAATAAAGCTCATTTAAGGCAAAAAATGTCGAATGCCACTATTAAAAATAAATTTTCCGCAAGGAAAAATTTCTAAGTATATTATATTACATGTCGTATGTTTTATATATATGGTAAAACGTAAACAAACAACAGCTGAGCTGTAAACAAAGGCACTAAGGAAATAAGTATTTAATAAAATCTTTTTTTAATAATTGTGTATATAATTGATATATAAGATGTTTATAATAGATGTAATATATCAATTATATGTTTAATTTTTTTGTGTAATATATTATTAAGTGAAGTTTATAAAAGTTCTAGCAGCTGCATAAATGAACTCATTATAATATAAACATATGCTTATGAATATAAATGAGCAAGTGCCTAAATGAGATAATGCGTGTGTATTATAATATGAAGTTGTATAAATATTTTACAAACACTTTTAAATATCTTATAATATATCATGATATATATATATTTATACCCATTTATAAAATCGATATATCATGCATTTATTTCAGTGTGTAATTTCCTTCTGGGGTATAAGTTATCAGCTGATGGTAATTTTAATTAGAATCGCATGTGAGAAAGGATTTATTTATAAAAACAACTAAAAATCTTTTATATATAAGTCTAAATTAAATAAATTTTTATACGGAGTTTAATATGGCACATTTTCGAGAGATGTCAGATAAAGCTTTAAAAATGCTGCGAACATTACCGCGAGTACAAATTTCAAATATACGACCAAATCCAAACTCTAAAAAAAATGTAAACTCTTACAAAATTTTCAGACTTAATTATATTTAAACAAATAATTTCTTAGGATAAACGAGGACGGGCACAACATGGTGGCGATAAGCATGGTGCTGGTAACAAGGGTTCAGGTCAACGTCAAAACTTCATGCGTCTGGGTTACGAAACGGGAAATACGCCGTTTTATGTAAGATTTCCATATGAGCCATACTACAAAGGTCATCATTTAAGGCGGCAATATCCACAACTTTCTTTACTTCAATTACAAGTACTACTTGACACTAATCGAGTTGATCCAAACCAACCAATTGATATTACTACTTTATGTAATACCGGTCTATTTAGATTGAAGCCAGCTGAAATGCAATATGGATTTCAACTTACTGATGCTGGAATTGACAACTTTAAAGCTAAAATATGCATTGAGGTACAGTACGCAAAGGAGGCGGTGATTGCTGCCGTTGAACGAAATGGTGGTGTTATACGTACTGCGTATTATGATCCCAGGAGTCTACAGGTATGTGTAATAAAGTTTTTATAAGATATATGTCATATGTACCACTACACAGGTTATGACTAATCCCAAGAAATGGTTTGAAAAAGGAGTGCCGTTGCCAAAGCGCATGATGCCTCCACAAGACGCTGTAGAATACTATACGAGTGCGAAAAATCGAGGCTATTTAGCAGACCCTGAAGAAATCAGCAAGGAACGATTAGTTTTAGCTCAAAAGTACGGATATGAATTGCCCCGTATTGAAGACGACCCAGCTTATGATATGCTTACTAGCACAAAAGACGCACGACAGATTTTTTATGGTCTCGAACCAGGATGGGTTATCAACTTAATAGACAAAACCATAATAAAACCTAAAGATTTTGAGAATTAATTATTATTTATTTGTTAATAAATGAGTATTTAACCTAAATTTTTATTTTTAGTTACATATTTTAATAATACTAAAAACTATTATTAAATAACCATACGATAGATATACACAGTACAATTATATGAAAACTTGTTGTGCTGACAAAGTTTCCATGAAAGGTTTTACAACTGCACTTGTTGCAAAGCAAAATATAAGCCCAAATGTTATTGATATTGGCAAAGCTGGTAAAGCTTTACGCCATATTGCCAACAACAATAATGTTAAACAAAGTCCTATTAAAATTGCCACAAAACAAGCTATAGTTGTTGTCCAATCTCCATAACTAGAAGCCTTGCCAACAAGTACTGAATAAAATATGAAGTCGCCAAGACCAAGTTTAACGCCACCTTTGAAAAAGCAATGATATTAAACAAATCAAAAAAATTTACAAATAATACATACGGTCTTCATGCACTTCCGTTGTATTTTGATCGGATGGTGTTGGAGCCGTAACCGTACGATATTCTGTTGATCGATTAGAAGGACCAGTAGCTTGAACTTCAATTTGGCGACGAGCAGTACGTTGATCAATATTTGACGTCCATTCTTGTGTAAATCCAGCTTCTGAAATATGTAACATTATTACATTTTGTTGTTAATGCTGGCGTATACATATACTCTATATTATTGCGGTCTACTTATTACGTTAAAATGTAAGAGATTCGAGCAAATAAATATACACTAAAGAGCGCACCAAAAACAAAAATATGGAAAATAAATTTAAATAAAACATAATATATACCGTTGCCGCGCACAGAAAAAGTCACAAGTGGCATACCTTCAGCTGAGGTGATGACATCATTTTGCTCGGTATTACCTGAACGTTGTGCGGAACGTGAATTAGTTGGATTTTCTTGGTTATCAGAATTTGATGGGTCAGGAAGATGAGTACCCATGTAAGTGTAAGCAACGGTAGCTAAGATATTAAATGTATATGTACATTATGGTTTTTTTGTAATAGTTATTTAACCTACATGTATATATGAGGGCTGGAAATATTTCTTCATTGCGTTCTTGTGCAGTTTCAACCAATATGCGCAATGGTCCCTTAGGTGATAAAACAGCAATTAAATCTAAAAATAAAAATAGTAATAGAATGTTTACAATACATTGATATAACAAAAACAATATATAATACTAAGTATTTTTTCTTTTTTACCCCAAATTGAAATAGCAGCTAGTACAACCCATGTAGTCCACTCTGGTAAATATTTGATAAACACAAGTGCCATAAGTGCAGCTACAAATATAAGATAAGCCTGCTGTAAATGTATTGGTCCATGCCAATGAATTGCCATCATTCCTGCAACTCCGAAATTCCACAATATTATAAGAGTCGTTGGATAGTCCATTGGAATGTTATAAGCACGCAAGAGCTCTCTTCAATTAGTTATATATTAGTTATAATTTTTCGAAATTGCAATAAAACTTACTCTAGATATAGATAACTAAATATGAACAGTAACATAAATGATGACAATATCAACCAACCGTGAATGGTTTTATAACAACGTTTTTTGTATAAAATAATGAATAAAATGGTCATTACCACAACTACCGACATAAGAATTAAAGCATTTGCAATTGCATTCCAGAACTTTACGCTGGGATCCGGTGAAAGTTCATGAAACGGTGTGTACAATCTACAATTAAAGCCTTTAATATTACAAATTTTAGGTAAGAAACTACTTATTTTGAGACTTACAAATAAACACCACGGGTTGAGTAAAAATTAACAGCGTTAATAGTAGCAACAACAACTAACATGCATAAAGAAACTGGAACGAAAAGTTTTATCACATGCTGTGCGCCGTACTTGAGACCTTCCTCTTCTTCCATAACTGAAGAGTTATTTAAATCATTTCCTCTAGGATTAGTTCCTCCATTACCATTTCCGCCAGCTTCTTCGCGTTCATTTTGATTATTTCGTCCACTTTGTCTACGGGATCGCACAGTAACTGTTGGCACATCTACTGCACCCTGTAAAGATAAACCATAACAAAATATATGTATTTTATATTATAAATAAATAAAGAAAACTCATCAATTTGACATTGTAGTCAACAAATGTCATGAACAGAAATTTTATGACATACATCAACTTCGCTGTTTGCTGCATTTGGATATTGTTGACGCTGCTTCTGACGTTCAGACCGTTCCACTCCACTCAAACGAGTGCCACCAACGTGGCCGTCCATAAGTAATGGAGTACGCTCGTTTACTTCGCGCTCCGTTGTTTAGCTGTTCCTTTTATCTTTAGTTTATAAATGTATTCTCACCATTCAACTTTGCGTTTATTGAACGTATATTTAAATATACTAAATTATACGAATTATTTTTCTTTTGTTATAACAGAAAAAGTAAAGTCAAAAAAGGAATAAATAAATTTATTGTGAGTCAACGGCGACAACAAAATTTAATATCTGATTGTAATGTGATAAGGTAATATGAAACTCAGGGTCTTGCTTTGTAGTGTGTAGGCATAATTGATTTATTGTACTGAACTAATTTTTTTTTTAATTTCAGAAAAAGAAATTGATAAACATATATATTATTTTATTTTACAAAATAATCAAATTATATGAAATAGTATTAAGGATAATAATTATTCATGGGATATTTTCACACATAACTTGGTTTTTTAAAAAAAATATATATACATTTTTTGTATAGTAAAAATGATATAGGTAATAAGCTATCTGCTATTTATGGTAGATAGCTAATAGGATTTTTTTTCAATTGCATTTATGTAAATATTTGTTTATTTATTTTTTGTACTTTTTTATTATTTTTGGTTAAAAGTTTTCAAATTTAATTATTTATTTATTAAACATCTTATGAAATTTTTATCTATTTTACCCTACTCGAAATTCTATATCATAAAATTATATATGAATGGAAAGTTATAAAATATAATTTTTTATTTAAAACTGTTTATTTCTTCATAGTGTGCTTAGACTAGCTTTTTATTTTCATTTCCAGTTTTATCTCAATAATTGTGAATGGTTTAGCCACATTTGCCATACAAAATGATTACAAATATATATGAGTTAATCGTGTATGAATAGTGCATAGAAAATTCCAATGTACAACCAATAACCCTTATTAATTTAAAAAAAATTTACTAATAAGTTTTATCATTCAGCTTTTAAAATAAAAAATAAATAATAATTAAACTTGGTTTATATTATATTTTTCAAGCACAAATAATCCGTGCATACAATTCATCCATAAATATCGATCCACACAACGTGCATTATAATTTGAATATAAAATTTGTCTTTTTAACTTTTTAACCGCTTTCACAAAATATTTACTATGCACATATGATATGTACATATGATAAATAAGAGTTTTGTTTCATTTTGTATGAAAATTCCATTCACTATTCACAATAGCACAATTTTATACTGTACAATACTGTGCTACGGTGAACTGTCCAAACTCAAATCAATTTGATTTTGTAGAAATTTTGAATCATTATGTTTTCAGCTGTCAAAATTTTTAAACAAATCTTCCTGATATGTACTTGTTTTGCTGTCAAAATCATGAATAACTTCAAATTGTGTTATATCACAATTCCGTGTGCTCGCAGCCTAAAGTAAATAAATTAGGTACAGTATAAAGAGACAAGTGTATTTGCCGCAAGGTAACCCTTTTAGAAAAAAAATAAAAAACAAAAAATTGAAGTCCAAAACGTATACTAATTTTTGTCAATTTGCTTTCTACTTATTTTTAATCTGCAACAAAAAGTTTTCGAATTTTATAATAAATGACTGTAATTGCTGGAGGCCACGGTGAACCCAATCCAAACAGCTCATGGCTGGGAGCGCGTGGGATGTGGCTCGCGTATTTTCTTGGTGTTTTAGGTGCTCACCTGACGTTATTATCAGTACCATTTATTAGCATACAATTAGCTTGGACTATAACAAATTTACTTCACAATGCAGTATGTTCATTTGCAAATATTCCTTTTTATTTTTCATCGTAACAAAAAATACAAATCCATTTTTAGGCACATTTGTACTTTTTACATTCTATCAAAGGAGCTCCATGGATGAGCATTGAAAATGACAGTTCCCGGCGTTTAACTCACTGGGAACAAATTGATAATGGCGAACAATTTACAACCACGCGCAAATTTCTAACAGCTGTGCCAATTGTGCTGTAAGTTAAAAATGATTTTTTACAGTCAATCAATTTCAACGATATAATTGTTTTACATTATAGCTTCCTTTTAACATGCTTGTACACTCGCAATGATCCTGATCACTTTATTGCCAATTTTATTTCGTTAGTTGTAGTTACAGTTCCAAAACTCCCTCAGTTCCATGGTGTACGACTATTTAATATAAACAAGTACTAACTTCAATATTGTTTTTTAAAGATATAACTTTTAGACTGAAGGAAGGCAATGATTTAATCAGAAAAAGCAGGAGCATTGAAAATGCATTTTATATTTTATATTGTAAAAAGCAAACTTAATAATATATAATAAAGTTAACATTATTTAAAAAATATTTATGTTGCTTTATAAATGTATTAAAACGAGTTAATGCTAGTGAATATAATGTAAAAAATACGCAGATGATTAGGCTTCCAAGAATTTTTCAATTGAGAAAAAGATTTAAGGATAAATTATAAAAAAAGATTGTATTAAAATTTAATTTAAAAAATATTGTTTATACATATTTCAGTTTTAATAAATACATATTTTTAGTTAAAAATGTACATAAGAAATGATTAAAGGTTAATAATACAAATACATAATTCCTAATAACAAAAAACATTATTTAATATTTATCGCAATATTTTCGGTGCTAACAAATTGTATATTATAATTGAAAAAACATCATTTACAGATTTTAACCTGAACTATTCATATTGGACTGAAAATACTAATTATTTCTTGAATTTATAAATTATCTTAATAATTTGGATCAATAATGAGTCACCGTTTTTATAAACATTTACATGTACATATATAAATGAGTCACATAAAAGTATATTAATTTAACTATTATTTTTGTTATTATCAGTATTTGTTTTGCTTTCTGCTCTTTACTTTTAATAAGGTGATATTTGGTACTTCATAAAACTAATAATTCAGTAAAATAATATATCTACTAGTGATTTCTTTGTAACAAATGTGAATTAATGTTAATTTTCTTTTAAATTTGTTATGCGTTAAGACCTAGGATAAATGCATAAAATTAATTAAATGTTGTAAAAAGCTTTTATGCAAGTTCAAAAAACAATGAAGCAGGACTACTCTACAACAAAGTTGTCGGAACCGGTAAATAATTTTTTGTGGTTTATTTTTGATTTTAAAACTATATTCATTTCTATTAACACAAATAAAATTAAAATTTGTAAACAAAAAAATAAAACAATAGTGATAAATCATAATTAAAAACATTATTGAGATTATTGTTTTTAATTATATTTGGCAGCATATTTTTCAGTAGTCTCTGCAATTCACGTCATCATTAAGTGTTTTTCGATAATATTAAGGTTTTTTATAAATTTATTCAATTATAGACCCCAATATTAATCGTAGGCCGCATAAATATTTAGATATATTCATTATTAATGCATCATTACTGTTAAATAAGATACATTTTTTTACTGGAATTATATAGCTACATAAATTGGAAAATTGTCTACCTTGCAATTGTAATCAATCGCGTTATCTATTTCTTTACATAGTTGCTAAATGTAAAAATTCTAAATTTTAATTTTAGTAACGGTTAAAACGTTAGTGACAACTACATTTTGTTTTTGGAGTTTCGGGTAAACACACTAATTATACATTAATTATTCAAAAAATAATTCATTATAGCGGAACTATTCAATATGAAAAATTTTATTTACGCTTTTAAAAGAACCTGCTTGATATAGATATTTTTATATATACATATATCTTTTATATATATATATATATGTTAACAATATGAAAAAATCGAAAACGTCTTTAAAAAATATTAGCTCCGGTAAATTTGGTTATAGAAGAATTCGACTCTATATTGTTTATGATGACATTTATAAAGCATTAAAAGTGGTATCATAGACTATATTAAGTATGAATATTTGTTCAGCTCAGAGAGACGAATCGAACAGAAACTATACCAATTCACCGATAAATACGTTCAGCTAATTTATTTAAATTATTCTTAATTACTAATTAAAAATTGAATGCGCCGAGTTAAAATTATTATGAAAGTGTTATACATATAATATTTGTCCATTTATATATTTCAAAGCAAAGTAGTCTCTATCTTATAACCTAAACATGATAATGCCCATATAAGAGAAGCATTTATAAAAAATAAAATCGTTCTATTCTACATGAAATTTTATTTTAGTAATGTTCTATTTAATATAATACAGTTTATTTTAACGTTCAAGTTACGTCCTAATGATATACATTTATTTTAACATAACTTGTTAGAATACACTACAATAAACGTAGAGTTCCATGTTACTAACATATGAATGTATGATTAATTTGTTGACAAACTTTTATAAAAAAAAATAACAAGTATATAAAAGGCTGGCCCTATGCTGCTCAAAATAGTTAAAGAAATTTATCTACATAAATGGCTAGTTTGATTAAAAACGTGGCTGGACCCCGGTTGATATCCTTCCAATCAGTCCCTTCCCATTATCTTCTTAACTCTAACCCCATCCATCCACTCCCCTACCCATTTATTCGTCTTTTAATCTGTACGTTATCTGCTTTTTAGATCCCGGCGAGCTACAACAACCACAACAACGCGGTTATTTTGAATTTTTTTTTTGGATCCATAAAAGTTATATCGCTTTAGACTGAATCACTTTGTATATCTGTATATAATCTTATTAAATATTCTTAATTGAAATAAATTAAATAAAATCAAAATAAATAACGTAAGTATACATACATAGCGTTTAAGCTTCCAAAAAATCAAAGAAGAGTTTTAAATTTTTAATTTAATATTTAAAAGTTTCAAATTTATAAACTTTAAACAATTACTACTTCACATTGCAACCATGTACAAATATGGTGTCTACTAAAATATCGAAAGAGGTGGGTGGGTTGGGGGGACAAGGCAATCAACAATATGCAGATTGCTTTCTTTTACGGTGGTTAGTGTTGTTATCTTCGCCTTTCTAATTTAATAAAATAAAAAGTAAATAATAATAGTAATAATAAAAGAAAAACTAACCTAAGTTAATATTTTTATTTGCATCGACAATCAAATATATCTGTATTTAAAGTCATAACACAAATTGTTTAAAATTTAAATAAAATTTAGTCAAGCAGCAGCGCAGCTAGAATAATCAATTTTCTTTTTAAAAGTTCGTAAAAAAACTATCAAAGTGTTAAACTTACCGCAACTTTATCTGCAGTCGCAAGCAAGTGGCGGATCTCGCAGTAGTAAAATGCCCGTAAGCTCTTAATATATATTTATGCATAATATATTTTTTATATAATTAGTTTAAATATACATGTGTAGGTACACGAATTTAAAGTGGAAATGACATGCAGTGGGTGTTCTGGAGCAGTAGAGCGAGTTTTAGGAAAACTAGGTGGTGAGTAAATAGTATTTTTTTTACTTATTTTATAAAAAGTCAAATAAATATTAAAATCAATTAATAAATATAAAAAACTAGCAACTTTTGAAAACTTTTTGTTTAAAGAATGCTACAAAACTATTGTATTTGTTATGTTTATATATCAATTATAGATAAGGTAGAAAAAGTTTCCATCGACTTGGATGAGAAAACTGTTCTTGTGACGTCAAATTTATCGGCCGATGAACTTTTAGAAGTAATTAAGAAGACAGGAAAGACGACTACTTATGTTGGGGTGAAAGAATGAAACGAACTTTTTTGCAAATTTAAAAAAATTGCAAAATTAAAATTGGAAGTTTGAAAAATAATAATGTAAAATGTAAAAATATATTTTTAAATTCTTATTAAAATTGAAATTTTACTAAATTAAATTTAGAAGTGATTAATACTATACTCAATTTCAATTATTATGTCAAACACTAATCCAAAATATTTTAAAAATATGTGATTGTCGTTTAAGAATGATAAATTAAAAGATTAATATTGATATAATATAATGTCTATTCTAAATACTTAACAAAGTGAAGTTATTAGCACTACGCGGTTGAATTAAATTTTTAAATACTTATATACATAAATATTTCTAATATGATGTTGAAGTTTATAAGTAGTAATTGAACTTTAAATTAGAAAGAGTTTAAACATTTATTAATATTAATATCGAACAGTTATTTAGATACGCCAATTTTTTTCTTATGATTAATTATGTAAGTTTAAATAAATAATATACATTTTAATATTCATCCCGACTTGTGATGTCGCTTTAGACAGAACTAAAATTTAAATTTTTTTAAATAATTAAACATATAACATTTAATAAAGTTTTGATTCATGCAAATGATATTTTATCAAATTTAAATCTTGTTTTCTATTGAATCGAGTCTTGCATTCAAATGTTTAAGCAGTTCAAATACATCTGAAAGCTGTTTGTTCAAAGTAGTCAGTTTTATTTGCAACTGACTGATCGATTCGCAAATGCTAGAATAGCAGATGCAATGGTTTGAATTATTGTCAGTTATGTCTACATTACGGAATGATTCAAATTGTAAATTGCTATCGGATACCTGTATGTAAATTAAGTTTATATTATTAATATTATTGGAATGAGGTTTTTAAATATTAAATACAAAATTAAAAAATTTGGATATGTTAATTTAATATATAATATTTCGGTGGTTTTAACAGGTGATACTCCACCACCCTAATGTTTACCATCATTATCGTGTGGTTTTTCAGTATTTATACCATCAAGCACCTGCAAATTTTCATCTTGCTCATTGTAAGTGTTGGTACCGCGTGGATCAATCAAAATGCTTTGATCAGATGCCGATGTGTTAAGCGCGTTTTTGCTACATGTGGTTTCATTGACTTTTGCTTGAAATTGTGAAAAATCAAATGTATGGAGATTTGATTTCCACACTAACAACTAAAATGAGAAATGTATGTATTGAATGCATAAATTAATAATGATCTATTGTACAGTAAATATTAAAAATCGAACTAAACAATTAAAAAGTACTACGAATTGGTTATTAAAAAATTAGTCAAATATCAAAAAGTGGAAGTGAAGTGGAAGAATAACGGAAGTCACATTAAATTAGGAACTTGAATAAATTATAAGATATACAAATGAAAAGAAAAAACTTGAAGCAATATTTGGGAGGTGAAGGCGAAAGGAGACAGAGTGTAGTTTGGAGCTCAATACACGATGGTATATGCATATAGAACTTTTTAAAATTGCATTAGTATATAAAATCATAATTATTTATATTTATTATATTACATATAATTTTTATATAACTCATTTTATAAAATAACAACTTACCTTTCTATCTCTGCCAGCAGAAGAAAATATACTACCATCAGATGAAAAAGAAACTGCGCTTACTGGTCCAACGTGTCCAGTTAAAGTATATATGGGACGTCCTTCTAGTAAATCAAGGACTTTTATAGTCTCATCATCACTACCAGTAAGCATAAAGTTTCCGTTTGGATGAAATGATAAATCATTAACAGGAGCTGAGTGAACTTGATATAACTGAATTAATTCAGTTTCAGCAATATCAAATAATTTTACTCTATTACAAGAAAGAGCCACTGCTACGACATTACCAGTTGGATGCCATGCCACCTGACGTCCCATTCCACGTTCTTCTGTGAATGTGCGTATACACTGACCAGAGTTTACATCAAATATGCGTAAAGTTTTATCATCAGAACAAGAAGCTATCAACTTTCCATTTGGACTAAACTTGGCAGAACGTACCCAGTTTGTATGATATGCAAAAGATGTAAGAAATTTTCGCTGTGCAACCTTCCACAACTTAACGGATTTATCATCTGAAGCCGTTATAAGCTACAAGTATAAATCTCGTTATAAGGGTACATATAAAATTATTTTCAAATAAGTTTACCATCATTCCTGTTGGATCAAAATCAACACTTCGCACAGTTTTACAGTGTGCGATAAATTCACAAGACACGCCACGTATTTTTGGTTCCCATATTTTCACCGTACGATCCTGGCCTGTAGAAGCGATAAGGTTTGAAGACCAACTTACTCCATGGACAGGTCCAGTGTGTACACCGAATCGTATACAACGAGCTGCTTGTTTCAAGTCCCATAATATCACTGAGGCATCTGTTGAAGCAGTAGCAATTTGATCGCCATTTATATTAAATCGTATTGATGATATTGCGCCAATGTGACCAGTGAAATGTCTTTGCAAAATAGGTTCTAAGTAGGTCCCAGTATTAGCGGCCATAGTTATTTAAAACTAGGATAGTTAAAAATAAATTGTTTTTGTCGGTATGTAAATTGTCTGACGTTTTCTGTTTGTGTTTGGTTTGAACTAAAATATTTTGCGCTTTTAACCAACCCTGTCTCTATTCTTCAGGGTTGCATAAATTATTGTAATTAGGATTTGTTATCAAAAAATAAGCTTGCGAAATGATTTTATATTGACAGTGATCTCTGTGTTTTGAAGATATAGTAATGTAGTCGTATACCATTTATGAAAATAGGATGTTACTCATAAAGCTTATATATATTTAAAAATGTATAAATTACTAATAAAGAACTTAACTAGATTATTGCTTTAATTTATGTAATATTTTATATAGAATGCAAGACAAAAATAACCAACATTGAATTTAAATGTGTATTAAATCCTATACAAAAGTTAAACGCAGATCTGAATACGCTAACAATAAAAACAAATCTTCGAAAAGAGTTTTCCATTTGGAGTTTAACTATAAAGTTTATATAATCTACGTAAACAGTAAGGCAGTTAGTTTCAAAGTTCATTACATCGACGTGATCAGTGGCGCTGACACAAAATAATTTTTATAATTTAAATAAATATTAAATTATTTTAATATAAAATAATTTCATTTTTTTATTATTCAACTTTTTTTTTTTTGAGTGCGATAATAGATTGAGGGCCTTGTAATCTTGCTTAGCGCGTTGGTAATTTTAAAACTGACACTCATCCATTTGTAAGACCGATTTTTGATGATCAATTGTGGTGTTTAAAATTTACTTATTTTTATCCTAAAAAATCATCTTAAATGCATACAAAAAACCAACATATAATATACAGTCGTATAAAATAAATACATATTATATCCATTAACTAATTCTTACCACTGATTTTTTCTTCTTCATCAAATTAATTGTTTATATTAAAAAAATGTTTATATACGGGATGGCACACGATTGATTTGATTCTCTACTCTAAATTTTAATCATTGTCATTCTATTTCTTGCACTCACTGAATGCGCACTTAGTGACAATTGAACAGCTGTTAAAGTTTTTGGTTATAGCACAATTGCTTGAAGGCATTTTTTTAGATTTATGTTATTTAACAATAATGTCTTTTTTATTGAGAAGAATTGTGTCTACGGTTCGTCAACCATGTGCTATCAGCTCTTTAACAAGTATTTATAACAGTCCGAAGTTTATATAAAAACATTGAAGAATGTTTTCATTTCAGATTCCTTTAGATCATTAACTGTAAATACAAGTACTTTGCTTCAAAATACGAAACCATCAATTACAGAGTTACCGAAATCCGTTTCAATCACGGAAGAAACGCAATGCACAGAAGTATTTAATAAAATTAATAAACAAATACAAACTGGTGAACAAGGTCGTCTCTTCGCCGTTGTTCAGTTATGCGGAAAACAGTTTAAAATAACTGAAGGAGATATAATTCTTGTAGAAGGCTATTGGGCTCCTACTATTGGAGACGAAATTCGTCTTGAGAAAGTTCTTTTGGCTGGTGCCAAAGATTTTACACTAATTGGACGACCTATACTGGAATCAACACTTGTTCAAATTAAGGCTACAATCATAGAGAAAACTTTAACCCATACAAAAACACATTTTAAGAAAAAGCGTAGAAAGCAATATATGCGTATTAACTTCCAGCGATCTCCAAATACTATGATTCGCATAAACACGATCAAAATAGCTCCAAAAGTTGATATACCATCAGGTGTTTTAAATGATAAAAGAATATACTAAATCGAATACATTTTGCATATAAAAATAGCTAAGTGATTGATTTTGAAATGATGTTCTAAAGTTTAATATTGTATATTATATATGCTGTTTCATAATTGCAATTTTCTTATAACAATGTTTTTAATTAATTATATATAACGCAATAATACAATATTAGAAAAGTATATACAAATTTTAAAAGATATCATTATATGATTTATAAATAGTACTTTCATAAAAGTTTAATAAAAAATGAATGATATTTCTTAATAATAGGTCTATTTATGTGACAACCAATTTATAATAGATATATTTGTAAACTAATTTACAATAAACGCATGAACTTTCATAAATACACTGTAGTTCGTGATTAGATCTCTAATCATAGCTCTAGTATTCTAAATTCTGTTCGAATATGGATACTTAATAGACTTCTTACTAATTCAGATTAATCAAAAAAAAAATACAATGTCTTATTAATTGTAAAAATAGACACTGTATATGCCTAAAGCGGCTTAAAGATAATTAATGGTCAAATAGTGACATTTAATTACGTCCTTTATTTGTTAGAACTATTATGCATTTTTTGTTAATGTCAACCACTAGTTTTATTCATTAAATCAAATCTTTAAACATTGGAATATTTAATAAATTGGCACTTTCATTAAATGTGATGTGCTCAGCTTGAAGTTAAAATTAATTAGTTTAGTAAAGCGTTTATGATTATGATGAAAATAAATCAAAACAATTAAATTTTTGTTGGACAATTATAAAAAAATTAAGTATTTCTGAAACAAGTGTTTGCTTTTTTCCAAATTTTTTCTTTTATTTCATATCAATTTACTTAAATATTAAACGTTTTCAAATTCTGTAAGTTGCTTATTTGCTTCAGTATTTAAAATTATAGACACAATATTTTAAGAAAATTGTATAACAGTTTAAATCTAGTAACTAATATATTTAAAAATTAAATAAATGTTTTTAAAAATAACATTCATAAGAAGTTAACTAAGTACTATTGAGCCCTTATAGTGCCACTCATTTTTGATTTGTTGAGATATATACACCTCTGCTCGAAGTAAGAGGATTTCAATATAAGGCGGGTGCTCTGCGAACTATAGTTATAATACAATTTAATTAAACACTATTCTTTGGACTCATTCTTACTATCGAATGTAGATGAGATCACGTTTGTTACTTTCTCCTCAGGTTCAGTATTCGATGGTGTCGCAGAAATAACACCACTTTCTTCTGTTGCGGAAGTATTAATATCATGCTCAAATTCATTTAAATAAAAGTCATCATCTTTTACGTTACGCATTGTCTCCCAATTATCTAAGGCGGTAATATCAAAAGTAGATGCAATTTGCTCCCCAGTAACATCTGTTAGACGTGTACGAAGTCTTTGAGAAATTTCTTCCAGTTCGGTAAATTTCCGCTTTATTGCTTGTCCCAAATTCATATGTGTGAGATCAAGTGTGTTTTCGAATTGATCAATCACAGCATCGACATTTGGTGCCAAAGTCTCTTTAGAAAGATTCGCACTTTTAGGACTTTGTGCAGTTGCCGGAAGATCTGCAGATTGTTGACAATTAATCTTTATTTGTCCATTAATACGACCATTAAAATCAACAATATTAAACCATCCACTAACTCGTAACTTTGTTAAAAGGACAGTTAAATCTAGTGCAGAAAACCCAATAATTGCATCCTCCATTGGAGTTGGTTGACCACGCGTATGTTCATTGTTGGTTAATGCCTTTTTCCATATCTTTAATATAAATAGTTTTTTCGGCTGCAAAAAAGAAACGTTTTTAAAATTAATTTACATATCGTATATGCAGATACGCAATAAACATAGATAACATTTAATCATATTAATCATATTTATATTAGTAAAATCTATTAATCCCTATTAATAATAGTAATATATATAAACTATCATTAAACTTACATTTGTTAAATATTCAGTAGTTGCAGATACATGGAATCGTTGTACCCACTCCGGATGTGTAGATTTTTCGATAATATTGGTAGCATAAACCATACCTTCATGCGACTTATAAAGTTTGTCATACCCCTCATCGGCTTGGAATGTTACGTAAGTAGACGGGGCTTCATTTGGAGGATATCGTTTGGAGATAGCAGACGTATTCTTTAAAGCTTTTCTACCCTTAGCAGGCGGATTTAATGGCAATCCTGTAGCGTATTGAATATCCAAAATAAATTTAAATGAGTTAGCATTAGTTTCTGCTAATGGCTTGATATTTGAAGAAGTAGCTTTTTGAGTAAGTGTCTTCAGTTCAGTTGTTGGCTTTGCAACTGGAGGCTGATTTAATGCTTTCTGTAACATATCAAGCAAATCTGTGACATTTTTTAATTTCGGATTAGATGTACTATCTATTCCAGCAGCCACAGAATCTACATTGTTTCCTGAACATGATGGAACTGTGAATAAAGCATTATCAATTTCCAGCGAAGTATGTGCAATTGCAGTAAAACCGCGGTTTTCCTTAAGTGTATTAATTTGCTCTTCACTACCTACTGCCAGCAAACATTTTAACTCACCAACTTTCTCAGTTGTCTTGTTTTTGAGTAGAGGAACCCATGCGTCCACAGAAATAACTGGTAACTGAAAACAAATGCCTTTACTTATATGTATGGAAAAATTTTATTTCAAATTTTGCAAATTACTTTGCCCTTGCAGACGTGATTTGTGATAGTTGAATCTCTGTAAGCAATGTAAAATTGATGTAAAGGCAAATGAACAACACCTAAAAGCCACATACTATCCTTGTTGCCATTTCCATCATTAATCATTCGCCGCCACACCTCTAATCTCAAGAACTGTTTTTCCACACGTCTAAGAAACTTTTCATCATTAATCACAGCGAATTGCTGAAAGAATAGATAAATTTAATAAATACCATAACAAGCTTAATTACTTCAAATTTAAAGAATTATGAGTAATAATGTAGGGAGAAACTAATATTGATAGATAAACTTTTATATTTTTCTTAAGTATTTTTTTAATCACATATATTAACCTCTTGATATTTGAAGTGGACTTCTCTTTCGATCGCAGTACCAACCGCTGTGGCAATCTCTTCGTGCCAAAAACGCCGGCAAACTAAAAAATATTCATAATTTTGCACATCATCGAGATTTCTAGCCTCATTAGCGTATATGAAACCCTTAAGTAAGCGCACTTTAGACGTCTCAGCCGTGAAGTTCGTAGAGTGTAATTCAATATTATTATTCTGAGCTAAATAAGGAAAGTTGTATTCAATATTTATTTTATAGTAATTAAGTTTAATAATTTGTTATAAGTCAAGAAAACTAAATTTCCTTTCCTTATATGTTTTTCTTTTCTAAACTGTTAATGAATTAAAATTTACTTAAAAATGTTTGATATATATATATTAAATATAGTAAATAATATATTTAAAAATGACTTATATATAAGATAAATGTATTTATATACATTAAACTAATTTTTTTAAATGCAATGAAAGGAATTAATTTTAAGGTGTCTAAAAAATTATTAAATCTGCATTTAGCTTAGTTTTAATTTTAGAAATGTGAGGTAGTTTTATTAAAAAAGCAATGAATTTAATATAAAATATTTCAATTCATTAAAAAAGATTAATTAAAATTTATATTATATATAAATAAACAATATTTTAAATAAATATGTAGCTTAAATATATATAAAATATGTTCAATATATTTATTATATATTATATTATATATTCTATACTTATTATATAAAATAATATTATATTATATATAATAATATTCTATTATATATAATATAATATAATAAATAAATACTGAATTTTTGATAAAATCATAAAACATTAGAAATTAAAGGAGTCACTAATACAGATCTTTATTGACAAAGAATTTCGGTTATGTGTTAATAACAAATAACTTATAAATAAATTTATAAATTAAAAAAAAATAATAATAAAAGAATATAAAATTTGACTGTTTTGTTTTTTGAAAAGGCTTATCTGAATATAAAATAAAAACATTAGTTTTTATTTTTATATAGTTCTTTATATATATATCGCCGACTCTTCAAAGTTTGTTTGTTTTCTTCCTCAGGACGAAGTATGATTACAACTGCTTTTGGAAACATACGGCGGTTATATGTACTGGAATCTATTTGTAAATTCGCATTTGTAGATTTGAAAAAACAATAAATTTATTGTTTAATATTTAAAACTGTAGACAGATTTCTAGACAGATTGCAAATCGTATAAGTATAATCGCCTTATATGTTTCCAAAATAAGTTGTAATACACTGCCCTAATATATTATATTTTATATTATTTATTCAGATAAGTCTTTTCAAAAAATGGAAACATTTAAAAAAGGAACTCACATCTACTCTAAATATAAAATTTTACGTTTAATATTTTTGCTAATTATTACAAAACAAAAATTTTAATAAAAAATTAATTTCAATAAAAAAAATTTTTTAATCGAAATTAAGAACATAATAAATAAATAAACAATATAAACAACAAAACAATTTTTTACTTAATAAATTATTTAAAAAAAAATAAAATAAATAAATGTTCTCAACAAAAAAAATCAACAAGAATATAAAAATTAGGGATATTTCTATATATATCTATATATATATATATATATATTTATATAAAATTATAAACTTAATAAAAATTACATAGAAAAATTTAGAAATATTTTTAAAACAAGATTTAACATAAAAATATATAAAAATAAATAATTCAGACAATACATTAATGAAGATTTGAATAATTTACAAGAATTAAATAAAAACATAAATTTACTAATATATAAATAAGATTTATTAGAAAAACAACTTTCATAAATTAATATCAATAATAAAATAAATAGTATTGAATGTAATAAGTATTCGTAAATATTTAAGTATTCTAATAAACAAACAAAACACTTAATATAAGTAGCTATTATACAAAAATAAAACAAAGAGTATATAATAAAAATATAATTGGATATAATAGAAATAAATAACTATTAAGATAAATATTTAATTAATAAATAAAAAATATATATGTTTAACTGATTTACGAAACAAAAATAAATTACAATAAGCTTGTAAAAAAGATAAAACTTTATATAATAAAAGATAAAAATAAAATTATTAAATATAAAAATATATTATTAAACTACCATACATGGTGTTCCAATTGAACTGCAACTATTCAGAATGCTATATTTTTTATATGAAATCTAATTTAATTAAATCTTCACAGGAGAGACACGACTCCGACTCTACCATACTTATTTGGTAATGGGCTTTAATAAAGTTAACTGCTGTGAATAACTTGTTCTTTACGCTACACTATATATCAACATAGCTTAGTATACTAAGCTATAGCTAAACACTATTTCAGAAAACTGTTAATCTGCGTAAAGAACGTTTCGTATGGCTGAAATGAAATGTGGAACTTTCTCCCTCACAGTTATACTTTGTGTGACGCAACAAGATATTGTCTACTCTTTCTAATGAAGAAGATTGTTTATTCACAATTTTAAAGCATCTTCCGAAAATTGTTCGTTATAGGTATTTGTTGTAGTCTTTGCGTTATTATTCAAAAACATCAACGGTGACCGTCCATCAACCGTCACGACTAATAGCTGTTCAACCATCACAAACAGTGCTTGACTATGTGGAACTATTCAAATAGACATATTATTTGTATGACTTCTTAATTTCAAGCTTGTAAGACAGACCATGACTTTATTTCCGACAATTACGTCGCATTTTACAACACTGCCTATTTCGCTCTTAGGTGCAATGGTTTGTAATACGAAAGATTTAACTATGTTGGCGTGTTTGAGGGTCCTACAATAGCCGTGCATGTTTTCTGAATAAAGGATAAAGTTTTTCTCAAAGAATTGAGATTCAAGTGCATGTATGTAAGTGTATGTAAGTTGCAATTCAATTGAATCATCCTATATAGATACATATCATTAACGTTATTAGTAACTCAATGTTCTTAATATAATTCTATAATCCCAAAACCTTTTTTATTCTATTACTACCAAAACCACTATATTATAAAAAGAGAAACTGTTCTGTTTAATTTTGATATAATGAAAATTATAAATGCTTATGAAAATAAAGAAAAATTAGGGTTTTCGGTTGGAAAGAAGAATATCTTTATTAAAGAGAAATAAACCAATTCGAAATAATGTACATATATAACGATAAATTGTATGCTGTTTTTACAAAAATAAATAAAAATTATGCTGCTGTATAAGTTCAATTTTAGTCATTGTATTTTAGAGTCTTTCGGATACAAAAAACGTTCAGCATATTCACCTGGATTAGCAGTGTCTTCAAATTGTGGTTTATTATTACTCTGCACTACATTTGATTTTATATTGATTTGAGATGTTCCTTTTTTCTCCTCCTCCTCATTATCGCCATTGCATTGCTTAGTGGTGGTTTCCTTCAAAATTCTTTGCAAATTAATCATTTTAGCTGATTTTATTAGAGAGCTTTGATTTTCTATTAATAAACTTATTTTTAAGTATAAACTAGCCAAATGTATGCCACGTCTATTAATGGTAATGCATTTGCACTGTTCCAGCAGTGAAGCATTGTACAATTCATCTAACTCCAAAACACCCATGCCTAGCATTTCATTTAGGCATGTACCTGGTTCACGCCACCAGACAGTATAGTGTATACGACCAAAGTTCAGATTTCCCTGTTCATCATAATCATTCTCATTTAACATTTTTATATTCCGTTTTGCTTCTTGCCCAAAACGTGTACATTGCGTTAAACTTTGGAATTTCTCCGATTCGAATTGCATGACGTGGAATAAATCGTAACGTGGCACATACTTAATGAGTTCATTCGATAGTTGACACTCAATCGTAAATATTGGACGAATTTCGCTTTGCATCAATTCCATCCGTTTTGTGCCTTCCGGTTGCAGCGTTAAAGCTTCCAGTTGCAGCTTTATAGCACTAATACTTTTAAAAGCATGCAACATTTGTTGCTCACGATCCTCCTCTGTGTCACTCAACAGTTGACTTATCGATGATGCGCTATTAGACTGTTTCAGATTGAAGCTATCATCCACAGAGACATCATCTTTCGATAAATAGGCAACCAAATTAGCGTCCAATTTTTTCATTGCTTGCACAATGTCTTCTGGTTTAGCCGTAGGTGGACGCAGTACCTTCTCCACTAAAAATTAAAAGAAAATTGAAAAATAGACATTTTTAATAATATAATAAATAGCGTTTAATAAACATACTGTTTAATTATCCAATAAATAAAGCAGATAAACAGATTTAAATGCAGGAGAACAGATTTGGAGCAGTTTGTTTCGGCTTGAAGTAGCGACTGAATCAGCGATTGAATCGGCAGCTACAGTAAAAATTATTTGTGCACGTGGGCCTCATATGTTAAGCAGAATAAAAATATCAAACCAGAAGCACAAAGCAGAATTTAAAATCAGCAACAAATTCCAATAAATAATGAGTAAAATGCTTTTCACAGAGCTTATTAGTTTCTCTTTTCTTTTCCAGTTTAATCTAAGAACCGACCAATCATATAACAAATCGAATAGTTTATTAATCATAAAGCAGAGATTAAAACGAAGTCCACAAAAATGTCTGGCCCAGTAACTTCCTATCATAGCATAAATTGTTCACTTTTAACTCAGATTCTTTTAGTTCATAATCTTATCTCTAATCCAAAAGTTATTTTAAAATAAATATTCACTTCAGTTCCCCATTTGTGGACTAGTAACAACATGTCAAGTTTATGCAATGGAAAGTTTTCAACTTATACAATGGAAAGTACATACTCGTATATGTAGTTTTAGACTTTTGAAGGCCAATAATGTAGCGGGAATATGACTTCATACAATACATATGTATGTGGTTTTACATTATCTATGAAAGTTTTTGCAGTCAAATAGGCGTCAGACGCCAAAAAGTTTAGTTATAGAGGCATAATATACGCAGGTCTTTTAAAAAAACTATCAACAATAGCAGGATTCTTGTCAAATATATATATATATATATATATATTAGAAATTTTAGTTTGTTATGTTTAGCTTCTAAATATAAACATTTAACGGCTAGAACAATTAACACATGTAAGATACACATACATAGCATATAGAAAAATATCTGTCGGTGACAGAATTTACACTTTGCGTACACTTTCGTTTCGATACTGTGTCATCAATAAATAAAAGGGATTTTTATTTTTAAATTCAGTATTCATTTCGTTTTCATATCTTATAAAATAAGTTACAATAACATTAAGATAACTCGGTACAAAATTTTGGTTAGGAACTAATTTGAACCAAATGTTTTCGGTAAAAAATATGAGTTCGTTGACTACATATAAAGCAAATATTTATGTTTTATTTTTAGATTTCATTATCTCGAAATTAAAAAATTAAAAAATATGCGATATCTATCTATATATATAAATATATGTATATATATATAGATGCAAATGTTTTGATATATTTGTGTATTTAAGTAAAGTAGCTGTTTTATTTGGATTTTGCTCATAACAAATATTTAAATGATTCATTTGGCTGACGCGTTGTGATTAACATCTTCCGATTAACTGCAGCGTGCAGCGGCGCCTTATCTACTAATTAAAACGCTTACATTTTTTTATTATTATTTGCTATAATTATTTAAAAAATATTTTTAAAAATTCATTAAGTAAATTATTTTTTTTGCATTTCATTTCCAGTAAAACATATTTTTGTAGCAATTAATCGAGTACTTTCATTAGTTCTAATGAATTATTAGAGCAAAAACTTGCATAATCTCGTTAAGAATCACATATATACACATACATATATGTATATATGTATATATATAAATCTACAATTGTATGCAGTTTTTATAAAGAAATTTTTACTTTAATTAAAAAAATAAAGTACATTTGTTTTTTCTTTTGAAACTTAAAAAATGGCACGTGTACTAAGTATAAATTATAAAATTAATGAAAATATAAAGATTTATTCTACTAAAAACTTTGTCTGATTTTAAATAAAATGTTTTTTTTTTATAAAAATAAAGTTTGAGGACATTTTATTAATAATTTTATTAAAAAATAATCATAAAACCGTTATTTTCTAATCAATATCTTAATCGCTTTCTTAAAATATCTACACATAGCCAATAAAGTCTGCGTACAGCTTACGAATTTTGACATTTTGTTGTACTTATTATAGAAACACAACAAAATTGTTTTCTTAATAATAATTTTTACATATATTTATTCTAAAATGAACATTGTACATATATTTTGTTTAGTTTCCCTGAAGATGACAATTATTTTTAATAAAATATAAACAGTTTTTAAATATAAATAATAAATTATAGTGTTTTTATTTCTATTGACCAATATTTTTTAATTGTATTTCTAAATATTTAATTTAAAAACACTCCTCTCTACTTTCTTCTTTGATTTTTAATTTTATTATTATAATTCACACTTCTATACCGAACATAACGACTAGCGGTCTAGCAAAGCTGTGGTCAACGTAAGGATTCTACTAGGAAATGAATTTAGTCCACTCCTTTGTAGTTGTACATTATTAATTTTCGATAAGATATCTGTAACTGATAATGAAGCTTATGCGACATCTGTTAATGTTTCTTTATTCACCTGTACTGAGAACCATTATTGGAAATATGTGATAAAAAGTGACAAAAAAAACAGCTACACAATAAACCATCTTATTATGTAGACAGAAAAACAATTTCTTAACAAAATTCAAATATTATACTGTTTACTTAGAAATCAATCTAAGCTTAGTAGTAAAAACAACTTATGTAGATAGTTTCTTTCAAAAAAGAAACTAAACAAACATGAAGCCTGTGTGTATTTATGCAATATAGTTTTGCAGTACAACAAGTTATATTGAAATTAGGTAAATATATCAATCCAAAACACCTTTTCTAATATTTCTAACTAAATCTAACATATTGACTATGTTTTAAAATGTTAGACGAGTCTTTAGTAGTATGAAAGACAGACGAAACGTACCATTTAGAAATCAAGGTAAACTCTAAAATTCTCATTAAATATACATATGTAAATACATACTTTATGTCCAATTCAATTCAAAAATATATGTCAATATTTTACTTCTCTACATATGTAGTTATATGTATCTATAAGTTATAGTAGATTGTAAATAAACTTAAAAATGTTTTTATGAAAAACAAAAAGAAAGTGATACCAGCGGAAATAACATACATATGTATTGATTGGGTATGAACTATTTATTTCTTATATTATGTTTTATTGATTCGATTCGTTTGTTATTATTATTATATATATTTTTATCAATGTTTTTTATTTGATACGTATCAGCTTTTGATATTGATATTTTTTTGTCATAAATAATATTGTATTTATAATCCATATTTTATGGGTCTCATGTAACGATAAACTTAATTTTTTTTTTAATATATAATATAAAAGGCACAACAGTTTTTTTTTAATTTTTTATATTATTAAAAATTTCAAACAATTTTCTAGTCTTCAGATATATAATATAAATATATAACCCGATTTTTTTAAAATATCTGGAATTTTAAACGATGGGTATATAGGTAGGCAAAATGAATCTAATACGGCGTTTACATTGGCCGAAAATGGCTCATTTTGGTCAAAAATCGAAAATGAGTATCGAATGGCTCATTCTTGCATATAAAATTTCAAGCACAAAAATGAGCAATTTTCTCACATTCTGTATGAATGACGTTCGGATGCATTCCACATACGTTCCAAATGCAAAGGAATCCATTGAACATACCCTAAATGAAAGCTCTTCATGGCATTTTGACAGTTTGAAAAAGCTGTTTTTAACATATTTACAAAAAAAGGTAAACAAATGTTTGGTGGTTGCATTTTCTTGAAAACGATGCACTGCTTTTTAGAACTTTTACTTCCCAAAAAGTAATTAATCCAAGTTAAAAATATGTTTTAAGTTTCTAATGTAAGGTTTGAAGGCATATTTAACCTTCATGCAAAATTTTTTTGGCACAGGCCAAAAATCAAATCCACATGCAAGTTGAAAAATCAGCTGTTGAAATGAGAACAAATGAAATAGAACGAATGTAAACACTTTCAAATGGCTCATTCAAAATGAGCCATTTTCGGCCAATGTAAACGCCATATAACTTGAGTTCTATTTTTTGAAATGTCTCTTGGAACAAAATGTCAAAAAATAAATTTCTAATCATTATTATTACTCTTTATAGTAAAAGATACGAAATGTAATTTATATAAATAAATTCGGTATTACATCCTATTGTACAATACTGAAACCACAAAAGAACGCTGTAATTTCTGAATCTATATATAAATTCAAGGATTATATTATTCTTTATATGTATAATAATTTATTATAATAATAAATAAGAAACTAACCATAATTATATTTTTGCATGATAATTGAGTAAGTTTTCGATTTTTATTTTTCAGCAATAAATATATGTATATATTTGTCTCGTTAAAATCGAAAATAATATTGAGATAATTTTATACTAATAGGTGTTGAAGAGATGAATTTTGTCATTTTTTTTTCACATTTTTATCAGATTAGATATTTGCTTAAGTTACTGAACCATTTTGCAATTACTTCATAGCTTGTGTTATGAGTCCATATTATAATATATATATATATAAATGGATATATATAACATTTAAATCATATTGATAAAATTATTTCAATAGGATTTTGGAATTTAGCGCGCCAAAATAGGAATACATAGAAATAATATTTAATGAGTAGATATTTTTTTTATTTGTAAACTAGTGTAATTACATAGTCAATCAGTACTTAACATCTCAATGAAACAGAGTACTGCGTTGTTTTGATTTAAAGGACATATACTTCGGAATTTGAAGTTTTTTGGTCCGATAAATGAAACAGAGTACTGTGTTGTTTTGAATTAATTGACATATACTTAGTTTAGTTTTTCGAATTTTAAGTTCTTTGTCATATAAAAATATTATATGACAAAGGGGTGGAGTTTATGCATATTCCTCTGAAAAAAGATCTTTAGTCAAAAATAGTTTATCCAAAAAGTCAATTCGAGTAAATAAAAACAATATACAAACAATATATCAAACAATATACAGCCTAATATTAATTTTAATTAATAACTATCTCTGTATTATTGTACATTATTTTTGTTTTATACTATTTTTTATCGGCTTCAACTTTCTATAACTTGGGTATAGTCTCACCTGCCTCACAATTTTGTTTGTTTCTTGTACTAAAGAACCATTCCGAACATTTATATTGTTTAAACCAGAAGCACCTTGTATATTTAGGTAGATTATTTAACGTTTATACAAATTTAATTGTTAAAAAAATTATATCACTTAAATTCTTTGTATGGTGATTTTTAATTTTGCATTTTCAGGAACAAAATACTCTTTGAATCTCACAATACTACATGGTGTATGAGTAATTTAGCCAAAACTAAGAAATTATTATATACACTCTGCATTTATAGATAAATTAGTTGTTATTTAAATTTCACACATTTTAGTTTGTCTACAATAATAAATACTTTAAGAACACACATAGTAAATATATGAATGGTTAGCATTAATTATTTATTTTTGTTTTTCATTTGTGAATAATTTATAATTCTTATATAAAATTATTTGCTTTTCCTTCACAAGTCGGTAATGAAATGAATAATTAAACTAATTTTAACTAAGTGAAATTTGCCAAAATAAAGTTTAAAAAATTTGAGATTCTAACCTTTTTAGTTTATATATATTTAGCGTGTATATTTTACAACTTATATAAATATACTATTACAAAAAAATACATATATATATATATACATATATGTAAATATATACAATCACACGTAGAAGTAGAATAACGTAGGAATTTAACCGCCTTTAAAAAAGATGATTTCGAATGCAACTTATAAGATACCCAACACTTGATATTCTAAACTATTGATTGTGATGCTAAATACGTTGCACTTTGGATAAACAACTAGAAAATAAATACAAAAATATTTGTAAAAACCGAAAATATATTTAATTAAAAATACTTCCTTGTAAAGAGCAATAAGTACAATGCATCATCGATTTACAGTGTCGAATTTGCAAAACATTTTAAAGGCGATCGCCCCTAAGATTAATCACTAAAAATTTCAAATATATTATATAAAATTTATATATTAAATACATATATATTTTAAATATATTACATTATAATATAAATTTATTATATTATATATATATTATATATGTATTATATATATATTATAAACAATGGTAGAAAAAAAATTAGATACGAGTAGGTTTGTACCAATTCGAGGACTATATTTTATTTTTTTGAAACATGATATGCATGTAGCCTACTGAATATGTTATTTTAATAAAGGTACTTTAATTTACTCTCGCTTTTATACTTATTTCGGCAAAAATATTAGTTATATGCAGACTTTAAACAAAAACATTCAGTTTTGAGTTGGAAAAAAAAATAGAAACAGTTGCATTTTTTATTATGAAAACATTTCTGACAGAGTTAATTTATTTGACGCCGGTGGTATTTCGAAGTTTGTAAACAGAAGTAATAATAACTAACATTGTTGTGATATTATAAATATATTATGACCGTGTGCGAGTTTGAGTAAATTGAGGTAAAGCAAATTGAAATTTCTTAGCGATTTTTTGCACTGTACTTATGCAAATATTTATTTATTTATTTATTGCACTTATTTATTATTTTTTGTTAAAAGTTTTCAAATTTATTTATTTATTTATTAAACATCTTATAGAATTTTCACAATCGTAACACCTAATTTATCTAATTTTTATCTAATTTACCCTACTCGGAATTCTGGTAAATACCAATATTCGCTGCCATACCGATATAATTTACTATTTCCTTCAATTCACAATCAATTTAATCAAACTCGCACACGACTTATATATATATTATACACATTAAATATTTTTTATTAAAAGTTAAATACTTAAGATGTTTTATTTAAAAATAGTTCAAGTTTATTTTAGTTTTAATAAGGTATATGTTTATAAATGTATATATACTCTTATACATTTAATTACGCATGCAAATTATGTGTTAATTATAAATTGTAAATATTTATTAAAAATTGTGTATATTTATTAAAAATTTTAATTATATTATATATATATTATACACATTAAAAATATATTTGTTTTTTTTTTTATTGAAAGTAAAATATTTAAGACTTTTTATTTAGAAATAGTTTAAGTTCATTTTAGTTTTAATAAGGTATTTGTTTATATATATATATATGTTTATCCTCTTAATACATTTAATTACGCATTCTAATTGTGTTGATTATAAATTTTATGCAAATATTTATAAAAAATTGTGTATATTTATTAAAAATTGTAAATAAAATTGAAAAGTTATTTTATTTTCAATAATGATTTTAATTAAAGAATAAACGAACTTGTTACTCTCGCATAATAGCGAATCATGTAGCAATTCTGGTTAAAATGTTAATGTCCTACCTAAAGGTTTATTTCCTGAACTCAGGCTTTTGGATTTGTTTTTTTATTTTGTTATGTTCTTTATATACTTTTTGTTCGATATTTTTGTTCGCTTAGGTTAGTTTTGTTTTTGCAAACAAGAAGAAATGCTCTATCAAAACTCTTAAACGACGATGAAAACAAAAAAGTTCTTTTATTATTATTATTACTTTGTTAAAATAATGAACTTTTATGTATCGTATAATCATCCTTAAGATTTTGTTGAAATTTTTATTGACAAAAAACAAAATGAACAAAATTGCTGACAAAAATTTAGTAATAATTTACTGAGAAACTACGGCCCTGTTGAAATTTTTCTTTGCAAGCTTGCACATTCCCATACACACATACACTCATGTATACATACAAAGATAAGCAGTTAAGCAAGCAAAAAAACCTGATTGCGTAATCATATACAGAATCACACACATGTTTAATTTATTTTTTACCGGCAAATTCTAATCACTTTGTATGCTTTTTTTAATTTAAAACCGTTTCTACTACTACTTAAAATTTCTTAAGTAAATATGTAATGTGAAGAAATACCTTTGCAGTGAGATTTCTTTTCATGTCCAGATGCAATGGCATCCAGTTTGATTGAATGTGCCTCATGTTTAAATTGTAGCGTTGTCATCTGCTCCTGTAGCGCTGTTTGGGCATGTTTAGCACTCGGTGCGAACAACATCCTAAAGCGTAATTGTATTTCACCTGTTTTCTGTTGTTGGGAGCCGTTTTTGTAAAGAGCATAAATTTTCGTTTTATACTCAAATGTGCAGCCGTTTGTATAGTTTGTAGCGTATTTGCGCAGAAGGACGTCGGGCAGACGAAAACTAGCTTGTCCCAGCTGAAGGTTAGAAAAGCTACTAAAAATTAAAATCTCGATTGGCCCACACGTACGCAAATAGTCTAAGAATAGCACGAGACTACAAATGTTATATCGTAACTTGTTTATTTCAGCGTGCTGTTTCTGATTTTTCTTTTCCTCTTTCACACAGCTGATCTGAACACTTGCGGCATTATCTATATTCTCACCCCACCAGACAAGCTTTGCAATAAGACCTTTGCTTTTATCAAACCGTTTGTTATTAAATTTTTGTTTTTTATTTTTTCTATTGTTTATGTTAGAACGTTCGTATAAAAAATTGATTTGGCTAACTTCAATTTCCAAACAACCTTGTGTTTTTCCATTAACATTCGGTGGTAGGATTTTTTCGGTTGTGCACATTTTTATTAGCCATTTTTATTTTTATATATCACTTCATATATTTTTGCACAGAAAACAAAATAAATCAATTATATTAAAATAATATTACTAACACATTCGTAACTGAATTTCCACGCAAATTATACACTGAAAATTTTAGGATGTCTGATGAACATCAAGGCAAATGACAGAAAAGGGAAATAATATTTTCAGCAAGTTTTGTCTCTTATTTTCCGGGTGGTAAAAAGGAGGAACCTGAAACACAATCAAAACAAAGTAAAAAACTTAGAGGTGCTGCCACATCTTAATTTAGCTTAAATAATTGTGTTGTTAATAAAGCTTAACAAAACGTATGTTAATATAACATATGTTTATATTATTTCCATTATAATTTCAAAATATTATAACTATACAATCTTTTTCTGAATTTTTAATCGTAGTGTATTATTTTTTTCTTAATTTAACTATTAAAAATTTTAAAATATTTTGAAATTAATTATATATACTTCGTTATTACTAATTTCATTATTGCAACTTTACAAGAGGAAAATAAAACTTTATATTCTTCATACATAAAAGTAATAGAAACTACTTTAGCTACAATAACGCTAATTATCATCAATTTTAATTTTTATATCTGTAATAAAAGCTGTTCAAATTATAATTTAAAAGTATTAAATACTGTATATCGATTAGATTATTCGCTATTTACACAATATTACAATTTGTCACAAGTATATGGAGTATATCTATATTGTCTTAAACCAAAAAAAGAACTATTTGCAAGTATGGGTGAAGAAACTCAGTCTTTAAGGCCGAAATATACGCAATTGAACTATGTCTAAATATATATAAAGTGAAAACCCAGGTTAAAAACATATAAATTAGCATTCCTAGCACTAAGCTCATCTTGTTTAAATTCAAAACTAATGTGGAAATGTCTCCAACTATTTAAAAGTCTTACTGAAAGAAAACGAGATTTGAGAAAAAGGGGAAAGCCGATGAACTACCCAGAAAAGAGGCAGCCTCTTTATTGGGCCAATATGCAGTCCTTCATGGACATTCTTTAAATTCAAAATTAGTGAATGGCTGGAAAGAGCAGCTCAGACTAATTGGGATAACGTAATTACCTGCGGACAAACTAAAGAATTCACGCCAAATCGCTGAAAAGCCAGAACCATGGAACTGCTAAGGAGGAACAAGAAAGACGCTTGTCACAGGATTGCTCAATGGACACTGCGGAGTTAAGAAGCATTTATCGAATCTAGGATCATAAAGGACTTTAGCTGGAGACTTTGTCACGAAGAAGAGGAAGCAGCGGAACACATACTGTGTCACTGTGATAGTCTCGCTAGACTCAGACTTTCGCACTTATCAACTACCACTTATAACGGCATTTTTAACTGCTATGCACCTATGGAACTAAAATAGGTGTACCTTAAGTGGGATAAGATTTTACATTCTTACAGTAAACTCAGTAAGAAATCTCTCAGTAGTAAATTCTTCATATACTATATAAAAATATTTGGTATATAAAACTCATCCGTTTTAATTTTGATATGTGCAAAAAGTGTTGCATAAATTTTTCTTGTAATTTTATTTATATAATTTTACAATCTATTACATATTTTCGAGGAAAATATTTTGCCAAATTTTAAAGACATATATGAAGCTATTTGTTTTAGTTCTTTGTTCAGAAAAATTGCCAATCTATCATTGGCAATAATCATCCTTTCGTGGCGTGCTCTTGGCAAAGTAAGACCATCAGTGCTTTTATATATTTTCTAAAAAAAAATAACATAACTGGCACTGACTGACTCTATTTTTGCATAGCCGTTCACTATTGTAAGCCATTGTTTTTGTCCTTAACCTAAATTTTATAGGCATCGTGGATTGTTTGGATTATTCCGATTAAAAATCCAACCTCGTTTTATACACACTTGTGTATTAAGAGAGCCTTCCATACTAATACTTATACTACTTATATACTAATAATTTTGGTTACAAATATAATACCATAGCGGTAACAAAATATCACACAAACATGCCAGACAAAGTGCAGTCTTGGTAGTTGCAGATCGGGAACCATTCTGTGATTTAGGAAGTAACAATTTGTTTTCTTTCATTCAGGAAGAGAGTTGAAGTATAGCCAGAGATGGGAATATGAAACGATATACTAGTGCTATATATAAGATTGTAGGTATGAAATGAAATAAAAATAATTTAAGAATCAGTTCAAAAATTCTGACAGTACTAACTGGTCGGAGTTCAACCTTGCTCTTGACTACCTCCTTCTTAATTTGAGCATCCCCGAACACAGGAATATGACTCCTGTGGAGATCGATTTTGCTGCCCATACTCTTAAAAGCATCTTCGCCTCCACAATTGATGAGCATGTTTCGAAGGTGCGTGTTCGCAAATTTTATCAAGTTTCACTTGATGCTTTTACCTTTCGCCTCATTAAAATTTGATTTGTGTAATCCACAAATTTCTTTTCAACAGAACCTTTCAGGTTCGAGTCGGTTCCTCTCTGTCCCGTGATTTCCCCATCGATGCCAGCGTCCCTCAGGACTCGGTTCTTGAACCCCTCCTTTTCAACCTGTTTATAGCAGACATCACGCTCCCGCGGACCCCTCTTAAGCAAATCTACTTCGCAGACGACTGCCTTGTCTTCATGTAATCGTCTAATCCTTACCGCGTCTCCAATAACTACTATATTAAATCTCTTTTTGACTACTATACCAGGTGGAAGAATAAACTCAACCTCTCCAAGATCTCTGCCATTGCCTTTACTGTCCAGCAACGTGATCGTTCCAGAGGTTTTACCACCTCTAATATTAAGCTCAGGCTTAATAACTCTCCAATTCAGCTTGTTTCCAAGCTGAAATATCTTGGCATTGTTTTCTCATCCAAGCATAACTTTATACCACATATTGACTATGCCATCCGTAACGCCCGGTTCAGGCATACTCAACTTAAAACTGCACTTTAAAGACATGACCAGCTTAACTGCAAAGTTAAGCTGCTCTGCTATAAGCAGCTTATTCGTCCTCTCCTCACTTACGCTTTCCCTATTTGGTCAGCCATCACTTCCGCTCAGATGGAAAAAATCCGCCTGTTTGAGCGGGGACTTCTTCGCGATTGCACTAACTATAAGTGCAAGCGTAATTCCAAGCACTTCTCCATATTAACTCTCTATAACAATGCCAAGGTCACTCGTGTTGACGAGTATCTTCTGTCACTCGCCCGTAAGTATCTCACCCGGAAGTTTCCACATTGCTATGGAAATCTTCTCCTTTCAATTCCTTTCATATATACTGCCAGCACAAAAAAATCTGACAGCACAACGTAAGTTATTACCAACATACGCTTATCAACTAACCCTGATGAACAAACATATAATATGTTTAGGTAGGTGCTTTATATTGAATGTAACTGATCTTAAAGTCATAGTGTAAGAGAGCCTAAAATCAATAATAACCTATCTTTCACATTATTGTGAATTATAGCTAGAACAAGTTGTTAAAAATTGTTATATATTCGTGATTAGTACGATACGATATAAAGCTTATCCCAGCTCATATGTTCGTAGATCTATCTAATTTCACAGGTTAGAGAAAACATTACAATAAGCAGTGACTATAGTCAGAGCATAACAGAAAAAGAGAAACACGAAAATGTTGGACTCCTACTAAATTAAGGGTAAAATTTAAACAAAATTATGGCTACATTAATATAACAAAATCATTTTCTATTTCTTATATTAAGTGTTGAGATGTGAGAATGTATATAATGGGGTATTAAGAAATTTTAGTTCATTTCTGCTAAAAAGAGAGCTGAAGATTTTTTAGTACACAGTGTATCGAACATTATACATAGATCCAATCAATGTAAAAAACCATATACACAAGGTTAATGCAACATCCTAAATGTTTTAAACTATGTTTCTAAACGATGTATCCTTGTTGTCGAAAAAATTTGAATCGTTAAGTACGGAAGTTAAGAAATTTTCAGCTGATCCGGTACTGGATAACAGTGTATTAAAATATCGATTATCTTCATATTACATTAAGAAAAAAAATATTAAAAAAATTGTAGATGATAAAATTTATAATTATATCCAATAAAAATCCTTTTATTTTTACGATTTAGGTTTTATAAATACAAATACCATTTACTATCAAAAAGTATAGTATAAAGCCTAAAAAGCCTTGAACTTTAACAGGTCATGCACCACAATGATGAAGCACACTTTTACCCTTATCAAATAACTCATAATGAAAAGTACACTAGACAATTTGGCGAATACAACAAAAGAAAAAATAAAAATGGCTTCGAACCGGAATTTTTAGCCGATCCAGTTCAAAACAAAAAATATATATCGGTTCGGTTCCGGTTTTTTCGGTTTGGGTTCGAAACCCTGAATTTTTTCTGTTCCGGTTCAAAACAAACAAAAAATATATCGCTTCGGTTCCGGTTTTTGCTCTCACAAAAATATCGGTTTTTTTTGGTTCAGTTCCGGTTCAAACCCCTGAATTAAAGTATACATTTTACAAAAAAATAATGCATGAATATTAGTTTCATATTTTTATTCTGTTATACCTCTAGCGATATTTTCTATTACAAAACTCTTTACTATTTTGCACATCAGCTTATGGTACGTATTAATTGATTGGTGAACATTTTCCCTACTAGTAATTTTATTAAAGTAAACTTTTAGCTTAATTCGTTCGTAACATGGAAGTAATTAGTTCATTTTTGTTTCGAAAAGCATAGAATCTAATAATTAAATTTTTGTAATATATTTAAATAGATTTAAATGATAAAATCTATTGATTTTATTTTTTCTAGTGTTTTTAACGAATTTCATTGATACTACAAACAGTTACTTAAAGTTGAGAAATTTTTAACTAAAAAGTTTAAGTTACAAGTTTATTTTTCATTTACTGAATTTCATAACTAAAATAAAACTTTTACATATGAATTTTGCGTTCCAATTGAATATAAAGTTTTTATGTTGCTATAATGACAGTTCCAAATTATATTTTAAATATTTAGTCAAATTACATAACTTCTTTGCATCGTTTTTTAAACACGTAAACGTTTTTCTTCTTTTGCTTCTACTGTTTTTGGTGGAGCTGCTTCCTCAAATTCACCTAATTCTGCATCATAATAAAGTGCAGCTCGATAAGGACGTAATTCCCATGGTGCTTGGTCCTCTAATGCAGTTAATTGCACACCTAAATCTTCTAAGGTTGGTATTCTAGGCAACACATTATCTGTAACACATTCTCTTTCTAAATGTTGCATATGCAAATCACCAATAGGATTTCCGGGACAAATAAATTCCGTCAGTTTTGTTTTTAAGATAAACGTAGGATCATAACGCATATCATAACGTCTGTAGCCCCAATTCGCATCTTTGCGCATTAAACGATGGAACCAGTCAACAAGTTCACTTAGTCTGTATCTTTTGGGTCTGTTAAAGATACAATTACAATACAATTAAATTTTGTAATATAAATTTTTAAAAATAATGTAATAACTCACCCTACAGCTTGGTAAACTTTGCCAGCAGTATCAGGATCTTTAGCGCAATTAACAATAGCTTGGGCTACATCTGAAACGAACACTGGCTGTTTAATGGTGTTTTCACCCTTTTGCCAAAGTGGCATTGAACGGAACTGACGACGCCAAATATGCGCATAGTACCGAATGAAGCGATCTTCTGCACCATAAATGTCAGCTGGTCGTATAATTGTTGCATCAGGAAACTCTTCTCGTACAGCACATTCACCATAGTATTTACTGCGCAAAAAGCCGCTTCCTTCTTTTAAAATATGCCCTTTAGGATTAGGATCAAGATTAAGTGAAGAAAGATGAATTAAGCGCTCAACGCCTGCTTCGCGACATATTCTACAACGATGTAATTTTTGAACTGCAAAGAAACTAATGAATCCAACTATCATACCTTGCAATTCTTTTGGCTCCATCGACGTGAACGTCATCAAACTTAAAATTTTTCGTTTCGAAATCTCGTCCGACCAAATTAATTACAACATTTGAATATTTAACCGCTTCACAAATAGATTTTTCATCTTTCAAATTATAGAAGTGAAACAGAACTTGACCCAAATCACCACATACCTTTAGCCGCATAGCTTCACTATGATCTCCACGGTATGGTAAAATCATTTGAGTACCACTTTTACCAAGCTTATTACACACATATCGACCAACAAATCCTGTGCAGCCGAAAACTGTTGCGACAATACCATTGAAGCTGCTACGACCACCAGTACCTCTTTTCATAGCACTAAGGTTAGTTGTTTTAAGCTGTCTTGGCGCATCCGTTGAGTAAGATGCAGCTCGAAGGCATAACACTCCAATTGCTCCAGAATGTTGCTCTATCAAATAGCAAATATTAAAATGTCATTTTAATATATAGGCAACTGTGCTTGTTATTTGCATTACATAATTTTTGTTTAACATAAATGTTTTTTGCACTCTGTTTATAATTGCACACTTACTGGCTAATTGAACATTTTTCATCAAAATTAGCGAAGCCATTTTTCGTTTGCGACAAAACTCGCTTTTCAGTAAAATAATTACTATTTTTACTTCAATAGGATTTTTACGGCTGGCAGACGTCACAGAACTTAACTTCTGCAATGAACTGAACTGTCAATTATGACATTTAATATGTCAGAGTAATTTTGCTGTACAGTACAAAACAAGTTATAGATTACAAATTTTTATGACCAAATCATACATATTTCGATGACATATACCTCTATGTGTGGCTATAAAATAATATATTTGAATTTTTAAAATGTTTTTTACAATGACTAATGTTTAAAGTGAAAATGACAATAAACAATGCCACTAAAGAAAATATAATAGAATTTGTGAAACATATATATATATATTGATATATATATATTTATGCCAATTTCACATATTATTTAATTTCTTCTTCTAGTAGAAATATATAGAACCTAAAATTAATAAACATAAATTAAAATTAATAAAATATTAATAATAATAAATATTAATAATTTATGTTTATTAATTTTAGACCCTGATCCTGATTACGACTCTTAAAAAGTGTCGAAATGTAGAATATATTAATATATATTAAATAGATGTTTAACTTTAACAAAAAAGTGACCTGTAGCCAGATTTAAAATACATAAAAAACATTTTTAAAAACGAGGTCGAGAAACAAATTCAAAATTTAATAATATATAGAACCTATAAACCAAATCAACTGCTATCGAAATTGGCTTCTGTCCCCCAAACTACTATGAGCTTTTTAAGTCAGAAAGAGCTACAATTGTCTACATAGATTATAGAATATTACACGTATTGTAAATTTTAATATATAATTTCAAGTAAATAATTAATTTTCCACATACTAGAATAGGTAACGTAAATAAAAAAAGACTATTGTTATAATTAAGATTAAAACTAATAAAAAACGTATATAAAATTTTAAAATTGTTATATCTTCATTGAAACCAAATGGTCAGTAGAAAATAATTAGAGGATAAGTCATTTTATTATCATTTTTAACTTTATTTATTTATATTTAAAAAGTACAACAATACACCTTATATAATTAGTTTGCCTAATAGAAAATATATAACCAATTCTACTGCTCTTAACTTTTGCATCACTATTAGCTTTTTAAGTAGTCAGTGCTTTTGAATATTAGTTATAATAAAAAAGAATTTATAGAATCTATAAATCATGTCAAATATTCCATGCCTAAGTATGGAAAAAAAATTAAAAATCCCAGCTATAATTAAGATTAAAACATATGTAAAAGGTTGTGATTCACAGTGCAGAGAAATTTTTTAAATAAATTTAATTTAAATTAAATTAAAACACATCACGTTATTTAAAAGTTAATTAAATATAATTTATTCATGAATATTTCCCAGTATTTCTTACTGATTAATACAAAAATAATTATATTAATTTGTAATTATTTGAATATGTTTTTAAAATTTTTAAATGGTTTTTACACTAACTAATTCTATAAGTACAATTTGTTAGATTTAAGTAAAAATTATTTAGTAAGAAATTATTAACTAAAATGTTTGCAATCTTATCATATAATGACTTTATTAAAGGAACATATTTGTACTGAGTGTTAAATTTATTGTAGTTTTATCTTTTATACATTTGTAAATATATAATATTGGCCAAGGTAGTTTAAAAATCAGTACTAAGCTTAAGCTTAACTATTTAAGATAAATTGTTTATAAAAGCACGAGATATAATATGAGTTCTATTAATTCTATTTGTAAAACATTAAATTCATTTTATATTATTTTATACACTAACATATTAATATGCTCGTGTACCATATCTTCTCACAAAAAGCCAGCATACATACACCGATGCTTCTATTCGTATGTTATAGAAACAATTTGTATTTTGTACTTACAATATTTTGTACTTTCAATATGATTAATGTATATTTGTTTTATTTTCTAATCACTATTTTTATAACATTTCAATATTTTATATGTAAATTCTTAATTTCCTTATCTTTTGTCAATAATACTTTAATATACTTTAATAACAAACAATCTAGTAATTTCAAATATTTTTAACTACTAAGCTTTCTGTTCCTTTTTGTTAGAAATTTTGATGAATTAATCTTTTAGTGTCCATTTAAAATTTTACAATAATATAATCCCTATGATACTATAGGATTCAGAAACACATATAGCAAAGTTAAGAGGCACTAAATTTTTTCGATTATATACTACATTTTCATAATGTAAAAATATTTCGTAATTATTTGAGTAAATAAAATATATTACGAATACTTCCATTGCAGAGTTATTGATAACAATATGTATATAGTGATATGTATCACTATCACTACAACGTAATGTAAACCTCTGACGATTGCTATAATATAGCTTTAGCCATATCTAATATTTGGCTCCATTGATCCCTTGATTGTGATATTCCAGTTAATTACTTAACTTTTTCTTTCATTCTCTATGTAACATATAACATATATCTGATAAATGTCGTAAATAAAGAGGAACTCTTCTTAAATTTTTCGAATATTGTCTGTTACTATATAATACTTGTACACGTTACTGATCATTGAGAGTTAACTGGTTAGTAAAATTACTTTTCTATATATATTTTTTCATATTTCTAGTATGAAACATTTTGAATGGATTTTGTCTACAACCCCAACTGATTTTTTAAAATATTGTTTTAAAAGTTCAATAAAGTGACTCTGTTTTGTGGTTACTTCTAGTCAAATATTATCCGATCTACTTAGATTAAATAAATTTGCTTATCTTACTTTACAGAGATGAGAAAAGCCAAACTTCCGTACTGTTAAGGCATTAACGTTTACAATTTATGAATTAATTATACAGGTATATTGAGCTGACTGAGAAATACAATAGTTCTTGAAGAATATAGCATTTCACTAAAATTTTAACATTCTTTAAAACTTCTTGGTTTTTATTAAAAATTTTTTAATGACTGTCGAAAATGGAATCCTTACCATTTTTTCTTATCATGTTACTTCTAAACGAGTGGAAGTAATGAAAACGTAAGGCTTCTATTCAAGCATAAAGCCAAGATCCTAAGTTTCATTTAAATGTGAGATATTTGTCTTTCCAAAATTATGAACTAGTGTTATTAAATACAATGCACCACATTTGTGCTCATAACATTCTTAAATTAACTTCTCTGTAACTTCTCCATAACTCCAAAGCTTCTCCGTTCTTCGCTTTAGTTGTTTTTTTTTTCACTGTGAAGAAAGCAGTATCTTTAACTAGAATAATACCATACTCTAAAAAAATATTATTGGAGGAAAAACAGTAAACTTTTGGGGAAGCCACAGATACGTAACCCTGTCCAAAGTTTACGTGAACACAGATTCACCACTATCTGTACTTAACTGTTGGGTAGTTTTCCCGAAATCAGAACTAGATTTTCATTGTTTGTACCATTTTATAAAAAAATTATTTTATAGGATTTAATCTCTATTGATGAAGTAATGATTTATAGAAATCATAATTCCATTTCATTTTAATAAATGTAATATTAGCAGTAATATTAAAGTATATATACTCGTATAAATACACATTGTCTTTTTTAGGTAAACATCTACTCCGTCTTCGAAACATATGTTAGCAGTGGTGGAGCTAGACTAATTCTGGACGTCGGCGACATCATAATTGCGACACCCCTTTCATTATCGCATTAAAAAAGTATGAATAATGTCATATATGAAATCGAATTGTTCAAAACATCTAATAAGTGCTTTGAATCGATAGTCGTTAACTTCTTGCGAGAATCTAGTGGGCGAGAGGCCGTCGGTGGACGATGACGCCTAGCGCTACCACTGTATGGTATGTCAGATCATTTCTACTTATTTCACCTGATTTTTTTGTTTTTTGTTTTACTAACAGCTGGTATTCCTCTTAAGATATGTACAAAAAAAAGATAGTTGCGTTACTAAGAAAACAAAAAAAATAATTAGTATGATTATATTCACCGATTGTTGTCAAAGTTTTCTATTAATGAATTTCTATTGTTAAGAAAACTATTTTAAATTCTATAAATTCTCCATAGTTAAAGATATTGCAAATATTACCGTAAATGGCTTTGTAACAGCTTAAACAGTTCTTAATAATAATCAATATAAATACGGTCTATATTATACAGTCTTTGAAACAAATATTATATATATTTAAATAAGCCCTAAGTGCATAAATTACGAAGAAGTACTTAAGTAAAAATATTCAGAAACTTTGAAAATTATTTGGTAAAATAAGAAAATTAAAAATTAAAAATAATCAAACTTTAAGCAAAATAAATTGAAATACAATCAAATAAATCAGTAAATACGGGTAAGACTAATATATCTGCGGGATATCTCAATGAGAATTTTTGTTTACTTAAAATGGGGCAACTGTTTGAAGGAAGCTAGCAGTATGGTCAGATCTTCCTTAGAATTGTTTGTGATACCACAGTGACAGGGAACCTAGGAAAGATATATGTTGAGCTGCGTCAACGACTCATTTAAATATGAGTAGGAATCAAAAATAATCTTAAATATTATCTGTACTGAACTTAACAACTATAAAAAAATTCAACTCCCTGTCAGTATATGCATATTTCTAATTGATATATTATCAACCTCAAAGCGTGCTATTTTTTCTTTTCTTTCTGTTATAAAAAATAACAACCGCCTGAAAGACGCTGTCTGTTTATGAAGAATCCGAAAGCCTATAACATTTGGATTTTAATTTCTCAAAATTATATACTATCTATACCCCCTCATATATTTCAGATCCTGCAATTTGCATTGGCCTTCAGAGACATATAGGCTGGCAAGCACCCCTGGTAATTATTGTAGAAATTCAAATTGACGGAGATGTAGTCAATATTTCCTAGAGTGGGCCTGAAGAGATGTAGAATGGAATTGTGATTAGCAACATATGGCTATCACTTTGAAGAAGCTTTAAGACCAAAAGCAGATAATGCCGATGTCAACTTAATTATATGATTATGCAGTATTATGTGCACAATTTCTTATAACTGTGTAGATGCAGATATGGCCAGGACACCACTTATACAGAGTTCAGTTGCAAGCTTTACAATACATACAGGAGAAAAATTTATACAAAGTCGATTGCGTTTCGACTATGCATGGCTGTAAATCCGACTTTTTAGCAATAGCAATCCGACTTTTTAGCAATACACCG